CCAATTCACGGACTACCTTCACTGAGGTTCATGACCTCCAAGGTCATGACCTTCCAGGTCAACATAAAGGTCAACCGACGGAAACCGCTCTGCACGCCAAAGTTAGCGACCGATATCCAAAGTTAAGGACTCAAACGATTCCCCACGTCACGGACTACCTTCACTGAGGTTCATGACCTTAAAGGTCATGACCTCCCAGGTCAACTTCAAGGTCAAATGATAGAAAACGCCCTACACGCTAAAGTTACCAAGCGATTAACAAAGCTAAGGTCTCAAACGATTCCCCGATTCACGGACTACCTTCGCCAAGGTTCGTGACCTCTAAGGTCATGACCTTCCAGGTCAATATCAAGGTCAAACGACGGAAACCGCTCTGCACGCCAAAGTTAGCGACCGATATCCAAAGTTAAGGACTCAAACGATTCCCCAAGTCACGGACTACCTTCACTGAGGTTCATGACCTCCAAGGTCATGACCTTCCAGGTCAACATAAAGGTCAACCGACGGAAACCGCTCTGCACGCCAAAGTTAGCGACCGATATCCAATGTTAAGGACTCAAACGATTCCCCAAGTCACGGACTACCTTCACTGAGGTTCGAGACCTTAAAGGTCATGACCTCCCAGGTCAATTTCAAGGTCAAATGGCAGAAAACGCCCTACACGCTAAAGTTACCAACCGATTAACAAAGCTAAGGTCTCAAACGATTCCCCGATTCACGGACTACCTTCGCCAAGGTTCGTGACCTCCAAGGTCATGCCCTTCCAGGTCAATATCAAGGTCAAACGACGGAAACCGCTCTGCACGCCAAAGTTAGCGACCTATTTCCAAAGGTAAGGTGTCAAACGATTCCCCGATTCACGGACTACATTCACCGAGGTAAGTTTGGCGTGTAGGGCGCTTTCTGTGATTTGACCTGGGTGTTGACCAGGAAGGTCATGACTTTGAGGGTCATAAACCTCGGTGAATGTAGTCCGTGAATCGGGGAATCGTTTGACACCTTAACTTTGGAAATTGGTCGCTAACTTCGGCGTGCAGAGCGGTTCCCGTCGTTTGACCTTGATATTGACCTGGAAGGTCATGACCTTGGAGGTCATGAACCTCAGTGAAGGTAGTCCGTGAATTGGGGAATCGTTTGAGACCTTAACTTTGGTAATCGGTCTGTAACTTTGGTGTGTAGGGCGTTTTCTGTCATTTGACCTTGAAGTTGACCTAGGTCATGACCTTGGAGGTCGTGAACATCGGTGAAGGTAGTCCGTGCATTGGGGAATCGTTTGAGACCTTAACTTTGGAAATCGGTCGCTAACTTTGGCGTGCAGAGCGGTTTCCGTCGTTTGACCTTTATGTTGACCTGGAAGGTCATGACCTTGGAGGTCATGAACCTCAGTGAAGGTAGTCCGTGAATTGGGGAATCGTTTTAGACCTTAACTTTGGTAATCGGTCTGTAACTTTGGTGTGTAGGGCGTTTTCTGTCATTTGACCTTGAAGTTGACCTAGGTCATGACCTTGGAGGTCGTAAACCTCGGTGAAGGTAGTCCGTGAATTGGGGAATCGTTTGAGACCTTAACTTTGGAAATCGGTCGCTAACTTTGGCGTGCAGAGCAGTTTCCGTCGTTTGACCTTTATGTTGACCTGGAAGGTCATGACCTTGGAGGTCATGAACCTCAGTGAAGGTAGTTCGTGAATTGGGGAATCGTTTGAGACCTTAACTTTGGTAATCGGTCGGTAACTTTGGTGTGTAGGGCGTTTTCTGTCATTTGACCTTGAAGTTGACCTAGGTCATGACCTTGGAGGTCGTGAACCTCGGTGAAGGTAGTCCGTGAATTGGGGAATCGTTTGAGACCTTAACTTTGGAAATCGGTCGCTAACTTTGGCGTGCAGAGCGGTTTCCGTCGTTTGACCTTTATGTTGACCTGGAAGGTCATGGCCTTGGAGGTCATGAACCTCAGTGAAGGTAGTCCGTGAATCGGGGATTCGTTTGAGACCTTAACTTTGGTAATCAGACAGTAACTTTAGCGTACACAGCGTTCCGAGGAATATCTCTAGATATCTAGGGAATTTCTCAACCGTCGACATCTGGCATCTTCGTGTGACGCCAGGCTTACTAATACCGACTCCTGGGCTTGTGGCTAGCTGGAGGCTGACCTAGTCACTTCTGCGCAGCAGGGGCAGAACTGGCCTGTGTTGGGGTGGTGAGTGGTCGTTGCACAGCCTGTGCCCTGCCGTCACCACCGGGCCAGACTGCAAAGTATGGCACGCAGGTCGACGAGGCGCACCGGCACAAGTTCAAAATCCGCACCAACCCTTCAAACTGAGCCGGAAAATCCGCACCAAAGCGAGCCGAGAGCCCAAAATATCCGCACCGTACCCACAGGCAATTATAATGCAAGGGACTTCATTCATCTCACTATAATTATTTCCCCTCCAATTTCAGTTTCACGAGCAACGCTCACCACGGGACCGCGCCGCGCACTTGTACCGGAAGTTTGAAATAGAGCAAATAGACGGACGCCGGTGTCAACAGGGCGCCGGAGGGCATATTGGGTCACGTGACATTCGGATCTTCTCCCCTCTCTGTGGGCCTTCTACATGCTAAATGTCACGTGTGAATTTGACGAGCCTTGATAAAATCGCCCCAGCAAACTTTCGTATGAGTAAAACTAATGACGTCATTCCAAAGTAGCGTGCTGATAGGCAATTCAAACCAGCTGCTCGCAAATGTGACATACCAGTCACCACCGCAACCAGTCTTCGTTCTAATGACGTCGTCATCACGTTAATTTCCGAGGCGAGAATGGATTTGTTCTGCCCCAATTGTTAGTTCGTAGAGTAAATTTAAAACCTTTCTCCGTCACCGTGCGTCACCGTGGCTGGCACACATTTGTAGGGCTTTCCAAAGAACGTCAACAAGGAAACCCGGCCGGGTAAGAAGACCAAGCGAAGTCCGCACCGCATCAAGGTCCAAGCCAAATCCGCACCGCACCAGGCAAAATCCGCACCGCACCACTCCAAAATGCGCACCAACCGAACAAGCCCGCACCGACGAGATCTTGTCGAAATTGCCATACTTTGCAGTCTGGCCACCGGGGACAGCTGGGGCGCGTGTAGATTCTCCACTTTGAGCCTCTCCATTAGATGTTGCCTGTGCTTGTGCCCCACTGCCACCAGAGAGGACAGCAGGAGCCCTACTGCCTCCCTCCACCACGCCAGTGGGTACCTGTACAATTTTTCCCCCTCTGATTGTCAAGTTGGCTTCAAAATTCATGGATGTTTAATCACTAACAAAAGAATGAAAAGCTCTACTGATACCAAAATGTGTATATTCTGATGCAGTTTATTAACAACAAATCCAATTGAGCTATTTTCGTTCCTGTTTGAGGCAGAGAACTTAAAAATTTTGATTTTTTGCCTAGTGATTTAAAAAAAGGCTCAGTTTTTCAAAAAATGAGTCAAAACCAAACCATTCAAATAGTACAACGTACAACTCTCTCCATCAAAAAAATATGCCTCAAAACAAGGATGGTTTATTGATTTAATTTAAAACGGAAATGGTTGAAATGGGTATGACATCACAAGTACACATACCACGGTTTTCTTTTTTTAAAATTGAGTTAAGACCATTTTAAGAATATATAATCACTAACAAAAGAATGAAAAATGATAATAACGCTAAGTAGCAGATACATACCCGCAAAATAATTTTTCATGGGCTCAGTCATGGCCACTTTTTTCTAGGGTTTCATGACGTCATTGAAATTATAACTGTCAACAAGAAATCGAAATTGACTTACGCTGGATATTATGAAATTCGCGACTAAAGCGGCGCAGCAGGTGTGGTATGAGAGAAATATGTTATTTTTTAACTTTTAAGCCGAGTCAAAGTTTCAACAACCCACAAAATATCACTTACGATGAAATAAACTTATAAAGTGAAGCTTGGGCTGACTGATATTTTTTCATTGGTCATTTTTTGCATATTTAGTGAACCTTAGGACCAGTCTGCAAAAGGTGGCAGGGAGCTTGACGAGATTTTCGGGGCAGACAAAATTCTGCCCTGAATCAGGGTGCTGAGAGCCCCGTTGCAGCCCAATTCTTGTTCCCAAATGGGATAATTGTACCAGGGCAGCCCAGCTCCCATCTTTTTCTTATCTCTGCCTCGAGATTTCTCATTCCTGCCCCGATTTCTGCCCCGATTGTGAGAGCTGCCCCGACGAGATCTCGTCAAAACCTGCCATGTTTTTCAGCCTGGCCTTAGGAAAGCTCATTCTTTTTGTTCTTATTTGGGCCAACTCAAGGCAGAAAATTAATTTTCAGAGAAGCCCATGTTTCTAAAACGTAAGTGCTCATGCCCGATTTCCCGTCCCAACCACTTACCAGTTTGATTATATGAACACCATCACTGTCTGATCTGAAGGGGCCCAACTGGGCCAGCGGGAACAATGCGGCCAAAACATGATTTGCCTCCCCCCTCCAAAAAATTCATCAGTTTCAAATTGCCTCTGGATCACAATGCACAACAAAGGACAGATAAGCATGCAAGATAAATAAACATTCATTAGCCAAGCCATAAACAAGCCAAACTTTGGAAAATTTAGATTATACTTGTCCTCTGGAGACCTGACCTGACAAGTGAACACTGAACTTTCCTCATTTTTGCATTCTTTTGGATGTGACTTACTGTCACTCTGTGTTACTATGTGGCCCAAATGCAGAGTTAAAGAGGGGCTGTAGAAATGTTCCGTGTACCTTGAACCTTGATGTGTCATGAAGATGAGACACTGTACTGGCATGCATTTAACTTATGCTGGAGAGTTTTTAGAGGGAACAATCACTGGTGAGCACATCCCAGCAACCATTGTGAAGTGTACAAAAAGTGGCCAGTTTTGCCTCTCCCTGTGATAATGACTGAATCTGACATTGCATTTTATTGGACAATGGATGTGCTCAGCTGAATGAAGCCTGAAGTGAAATAAAAATGGTGCTAAATTTGAATTTATTCATATTTGTTCATGTTAGGTGAGTTGAGTTGACTTTTTCCAGAACTAGAAGTGTAGTTCACAACTTCACATGTTTCTAAATATTATCTGCTGTTCTGTAAAATCATGAAATGTGTGATGCACCCTAGCAGATGTACTTGTGGTTCTTTTTACAGTACAGGTGCCAAAAAGTCAAACAGGGAATTTTTCGGAAAAGTTAGGTATTTACAATTGAAAGTATTCATTTCTTTTTCAGCAAGCCACATTGTGTGTCACACAATTTTTTCATATCATAATTGGTTTGCCATGGTCGTGCCCTAGGACCCTCTACTTTCATTTACCGTTTCCAACATATGTGGTGTTACTGCTAAGCCGGTAGCCTCATGGCTGAGTTAGATTCGCGGCAGTTCCGGGCCGGCTGCGCCCGCCTTCTGCGTCGCTCGCGGCAGCTGGGCGACGGCTGGCAGTGGCGTCAGGTTGGTGCCGACAGATTCCTCGTGCGAGAGACTGTGGTCCCGGCTCCACCGCCCGCCGACGATACCTGCGACATCGACTCCGACGATGGAGAGACCGACTCGGCGGCGGTGGCGGCGTGTCCGTCCGTCTGGCTGCTGGAGCACCACGTGGCGCTGAGCAGCTCGTACGGCGTGCCGCTGCTGCTGATGACCGGCCGCGACCTGTCCGGCCGGCCGCTGGAGGCAGAGCAGGTGTGGCGTCTGGCGCCCGCAGAGCACGCCGACCACCTCCGGCGCCACGGCTGGGCCACGCTGTCGCTGCTGGAGCATCCCGTGCTGCGCCGGCTGTTCCTGGCCGTACACCCCTGCCACACGGCCCGGCTGATGGCACAGGCAACTGCTGCGGACCGCTCGGAGGTGGTGATCGGCGGCGGCGGGGAGGTACCGAGCTGCGGCGGGGACGCTGTCGCCTTCTCTGACTCTCAGAGCAGGGTGAGTGATGTCAGTGTCTGTGCTGATCAAGGCGGCCCGAGGAATTCTGAAAGTTCCGACGCAGAGTCTCAGCCGTGTGGTACAGTCGAACTCGAGCGTAGCGTGGCCGTAGAGACCGCAGCTAGCGACGTCGGAACAGCAGTGGGACAGAGTGATCAGGACCGGACCAATGGATGTGAACTTGACGATACTGGTCTCTGCACTGAGCAGGAGGAGCGGGCATACCGCTACCTTATACTCTGGCTCAGTATGTTCGGGCCCATTTGCGGACTGACCTTACACGAGGCCTATGCTTTTTAGATTGTGATGTGCGTCAAGGGGTGTGTATTGTGATTGCCACCGTACGCCGTACGGTGCATTTGCTCATTGTGTTTGTATTTTATGTGTTATGTGCCGTTGCTCTGTGGTTCATATTCGTAGCCGATTACCTGAGTCAGTCATAGGTGCGGTTGTTGCATTTGTCTGTATCGCCGTCACATGCCTCCCTCTCAAAGCAATTACTTTGCAAATGCTACAAAGCTTTCTGTGTTAAGTTGGTGTAATTCGGATGAGTAAAAGTATCGCACTGTGGTAAATGTCAGTGTTAGCAATGCGAGTGTTCGCCTGTGATTTCTGGGCAAAGCTGCGCGTTATGATTCATCTATCCATTTCGATCCCGCGGGAAAATATATATTTTCATTTATCAAATTTTTCAGATATATTCTAAGAGTCGATAATCATAAGCATCTACAATGAGTGATGAGGAGCCAGACTACATGTCAGAAGACTTCCTGAAGTCATGGTAAGTGAACCTAGTGTCTCGCGGGCATATTCAGCTTGAAATAAGTTTTGAAATCGATATAAGTAAGAATTTTGCCGGCCAAACAATTATGCTATGATGAATCTTCGCGTAACGAACCCTGACTACACACCCTGATTTCACAAAGCGACACCTTATGACCTTGTTTTTCATCGTCCGACGTTCTCGTTTTGCTGTCTTCCCACATACTTCGATTGTGCTGTTTTATGTTCGTGCTCAGCGACGCGCGCGGACGCTACGTAGGCTCTGCAGCCCGCGGGTGCACGCCAAAGTTCCGCTCTCTCGTCGGCCAGTGAGCTCGCCGCGAGGTCGGTCCTGCGCGCTATAATACCTACTCTGTGAGCCAAGTCTGACTGTGTTTATGTCTGTGTGACACAGTGTCGGCGGCCAGGACGTGCGGCCGGGCCTGCAGTTCCGCCGGGAGGCCGAGCGGCAGCACCGGCTGGAGCGGCGCCGCCAGCTGGCCGACCAGCAGCGGCGCGAGCGCAACCGGCCCACCCACGTCCTAGAGGCGGAGCAGCGCGAGCGCGCCCTGGATAAGGTGAGACCCGCCGCCCACCGGGGGATCAGGTCAGATACTCCCGCCTACCCGAGGACCATCGACCGGGTCACACGCCCCTGCTTGTCCACCCGGGTTCAGGCCAGACCCCCTAGTCTCCCGGGAACTAGATCAGACACTCTATCAGCGAGACCTATCAGACACCAATTCGCTTACCAAATGTGGAATAAAACCGTTTGTAATACGCATTGAATCAGGCTTTGTTTTTCTTTTCAGCCAATCGACTCTAGCAACAAAGGCTTTGCAATGCTGCAAATGATGGGCTACAAACCTGGAATGGCAATCGGCAAACAAGGTAATGTTGACGACTCGACATGTCTATGTAATTGTAGCGTCGTTGAATTACTTATTGAACTTGGTATGACTTCACTGAAGTTTGATCGAATAATCGTTTTCCTGTTTGTAAACGCGAAGGAACAACGGTAGGGCTGATGGTGTTTCATGATGGTTTAAGTGTATCTAACTTGGTACTCAGCTGCTTACTAATTGACGCATATTTATTAGCGATGTGATTTACGTACCAGTTTCATTCTTAAGCAGCTATTATTCCGGATTGACCATTCAAGGACGGCAACGAGATAATAAGACGGGAAAAATTATACTTGTCCATGGACGTTGCATCCACAAGTCTCAGTCGTGTCGCAAAGAACCTAATAGCTTGCGTGTTCGTGTTGGTTCGAGCATGCATGCGCTCATGCTGCATTTATCCAGGCACCGCTGAGCACCTGACCTGCGACCCTGACCTGAGACTGATCCGGTGACCGTCCTGTGTCACCAGGTGACGGTCGGACCGAGCCGATCCGGCCGGAGCTGAATCAGGGCCGCGCGGGGCTCGGACGGCAGGCGGCGCTGCGCGCGCTGGAGGAGCGCAAACGGGAGCTGCGCGCCCGAGCCGCCGAGCGCCGCCAGCAGGCCACCTGCGCCGTGGAGTTCCGGCGGAGGATGCGCGACAAGATGAGCGACCGGCACCTCACGGCCGACCTCATGAAAAGTCAGCGGGTCTGTCAGGAACTGGACTCGAAAATGGTGGGTGATCGCCGATTTTGTCCATTATGCTAAACTTCGACGTGTGCTTGATTTTCTTCTTTTTTGCGTCGCTAGAGTATTCTATTTACCGTCTTGGTTATCAGTCTATTACCGACTTATTAGTTACCGTCTTATATATCTGTTCACTATCTGTAGCGATTAATTAAGTGCTTTATGTCAACTGAATATCGGGTCATTGGTTCATTGTAATATTGACGCCAGGAGATGTCCAGTATCATGGGTCGATATTTGACTCTGAGATGCCACCTCTCCGGCGGCAGGACATTGCGGCTCCGGCCGAGCCGTGGTTCTGGCCGCCGCCGCCGCCCTCCGAGGCTGACGGTGACGCAGAGGCTGACGCCGAGCAGCAACCGGAGGAGGACGCCGTCCCCTTCTCACCAGCCGATCAGCTGGAGCTCCTCACCGACTACCTCCGCCGAACGCACTTCTACTGCATCTGGTGCGGCTGTGCCTACGACGACGAACGCGACCTCAGGGAGAACTGTCCCGGCAACACCAGGGATGATCACTGAATCAGTGTGCTACTAGCAAATGAATCACGCCTATTTTTTTTTCTGACATTTGGATGCGTCGATACAGTTAGGAAGATGTCACGCTCGTATATGTACTCGAATGTGAAGTGCGCATACACACGCGCCGGGACGCGCGCTTACGCATTTGTATATATCATACGTGCGTTCCCATGCAAACGTGCTCTAGTGTCGCCACTTATCGATGTCCATGACTTTGTGCAAATACATCTCGATATTTGTGTGTGAGTGGAGTGTCCCAATGGATAACACGATTAGTGATATGAATAGGGCGTGCTAAACCGCAGCCCAAAGCTCTTATCTAAATGTAATCACAAACCACAATACAACAGGCGAGGCTGCGAGGGGACAAGACCATTAGACCAAAGTTTATATAGCCTTTCTTGTTGTTATTTTCCTCTCGTCCTCGGTTAGCGCCGTGGGTTTTCGGTCCTGTTCTTGTACGAGCGGTATCCAGCGGCCTAGGCGGACACCACGTGATCCTGCGTCGCAGCCCCTGGATTTCGTCGATGTTGCTCAGTGAGAGGAGACGGCCCCACAGACTCAGTGGCGCGGGCAGTGCAGTAGGACGTACCGTGGGATGTCCTTCCTCATTGGCACAGCTTCCAGGCCGGGACGGTTTAGGCCGTTGCAACCGGCGGACATTTCTCGGTTGGTCGGCGATCGATTCGGTGTCGGCATCGGGCAGTGTGCCTCTGCCTCAATGCCAGGCCGGCGGAGCAGATGGATGTCCACCGTGGTTCCTTGCCTTTTACCCACCCCCACAGGTGCTGGCAGCGAACTGTCACTTTATAGATGGGGCCGGGGGTGTGCCGTCGAAATTAGATAGACAGCACGATCGCATGGCCCTTGCTGCTCTGCGCTCGCTAGCGAATACTCAACTGCTGCGTTTTTCACGAACGTCATTTCGTCAACCTTGAGTGAAAGCCGCCGGTTGAATTTCCGGTAGAAATTTCGGTAGAACCGGTAGAAACTGCCTTGTTATGTGAATCTGTGCGGCGGAAGGGGTTTGGGCGCACGTTTTTGTACGATATTCTATTTTCATTCTACGTATTTAGTTGTTGGTAAGTGATATTTATCGATTTTCAGCCATTTTATGTTTTAAGGGTAACAAGGAATAGGAAACAGCAGTTAATGGTGCAGCCTTCTGCCTTGTTTCATGGCTTGGCAACAAGTAATAGATCATTACAAGTGCATCTAAATTTATATTTATTTATGAAGCTGTTGTGATATATTATAATTAACTTTCCCACTCTTTGCTTACCCTGCAACTTGATTTCAAGCTGCACACATCTGTTATGCGTCAATGCATAGACAATTTTTGCTAGAGGGCTGTGCAATTTGGACGAGACTTTGTTAGTGCGAAAGCGTCCCAGCTTATGCACGATGTGCAATTCCCATGTAGCAACGTAGGTTCCAATTTGGCACCCTGCTGGACTGCTGCGCTGGTGCATAATTGTCCAAGAAAATTATGTGCAGCATTGGGCGGGCATTGGGAATCAAGACATGTTAGGGTCGGCCACGCCACGGATGGGGGGCTTTAGAATGATGTTTGACTTCAAAAATGGCTGGCTACTTTCCAAGATCTTGAGTTGGGCTCAACAGACCCTCCCCAACCAGTGGCACTCAGTCTGAAAATAGCCCAGCTGGATGTGGATCAAGCTGTTGCTCTTTTGTTGTTTTTGGGTTAGGATCAGACTGGAATAAATACACGTTATGCCAAATATGTCGCATGTCCGGCGTAACTTCGCTTGCCCTGAACTCAGCGCATGGCGGCAGCCAAGTTTTTGGCGCAGGGCATAATTTTTTGCATAGGTAATTTTTTGGTGAATGACGGTCACCGCATTTAGTTGTCACGCTGGTCAATCTAGCAGCACATTCGCCCTTCAGGCGGCTCTGGAGAGGGTTTGGGACAAGACGTCCCCTGGAGTGCTTGAATTGGTGAGCCGCCCTGAGTTTACTCAGCGGAGGAGCAGCCGCCCAGGTGAGGTCTCCACCCTCGGGGCAGAGATGGGTATGAAAGACCTTATTGAATATCGCCGGGCGTCGTGAAGTGATATAGCAGTCAGGTTCCTACCCACTGCGGTATCGAGGGGAATGAGAGCGCGACGAAACAAGCGGCCGCCCTGCCCTCTGACGCCCGCATGCTGACCCGGATGGTTTATTGTGCGGCCTCGCGTCAATGGCGCGACAAATGGTCCGAGTCACTATTCAAGCCACTCCTCGGGAGCACACCGCCGCTCCCCATCCTCGGAGAGGACCAGGAGGACGCCGTGTCGGTGCACCAGATGAGGGCGGAGCCCGAACCACTGGGGCCGCTCACTCCAGTACCTGCAACGGATCGGCCGTCTCCCCTTTGAGGCGTGCCAGGAGTGTCCAGACAAGCGGTGCCCACTGCCCTGCGGCGCTCAGCACCGTGTGCAGAGAAGAGGCTGATGTGCCGGGGCACGTGCTTCTCCGCCGCCCGGCCCTTGCTGGCGCCCGCCAGCCTTGAACACACTGCTCCGCCGATTTTGCGGCCCCGGTATTTTCGGCAAGGGGCCTTGCTTCATGGGACGACGCTGCAGTGCGCTAAGCGTATTGTGGTATTGGGTTTCCGCGTAAATAAAAACTTATTCAGACGCTCAAACATAGGAGTGTCCAAGGCCCCGGGACGCTCTATCTGGTTGATATAGCCTCAGTCTCGGTCAGTAGATGTGCACATGTGCTTTATATAAAAGTGGCTTAATTTGGACGCAAATAAGCACCCAATTTTTGGCGCAAATCATGCAGAAATTACAGCGCAAAATCACTTGCGCCAAAATTCGGCGCATGAGGGTCTTACATGCGTCCGGCGTAGTGTATACATATGTAGATGTTTTCCAGTCTGGGGTTAGAGCACATAGCAACTTGGCTCTTGGGTCCAACGTTGGGTCAAGCATTGTAGGAGGAAGATGCTGCCAGTTTGGTTAAGGCGATGGGTTTGCAGTTTTATATGGTTGGTCAATAAGTCACTTAAAAATAAAAATTGCAGCACAAATGTAATTGCAACTTTGTTAGAGTAGTAAGAAATAGATAAGGTACCTAACGGGTGTCTACTAATTAATGAGAAAAAGTTTAAAGGCTTATATCTCGGGTATTTTGTAACTTAGATAATCGAAAATTCGCATGCTTATGCATCCTTCTATTGGTTATCAAATACCTTCAGCGCAGCGCACTGAGCACACCATGTTTGCCGCACGCGCCACCCGACCCCCGTGGTCGAACGTCACGGCACCTCCACGTCGAATGAGATCGATAATTCCCGCCTTCCCGTCTTCAGATGTCGGTCCAAAGCTACAGTCTTGTCCCCTGGATATATTTCTTTCTTGACAAAGCCTCACAAGTATTCAATCGGCCACAGCTGCGACACGCAGGGTGGATTGTCTTCTCGATCTTTCATGGGTACGCCGACCCCCTCCAACATTGCGATGGTTTTAATTGCATAATGGACGAAAACTAGGTCAAATCAGAGTGCATAGTTGCCATTTGGGTAGTATTCGTCTTTTTTACCTTGGTGCCCTAAAAGATAAGAAATCAACGCGTTTATTTGCCGTCCCCCGCACTATAGAACATCCTCCCAATGATAACTCATTTTGGACACATGACTGGCAGCACCTCCCCTTCCGGAGAGGCCGTTTAGCCGCATCAGTAAGCTGGAAACCGGTAAGGAGACGTGTCCACAGGTTGCAGTTGTATCCCCCCTCACTGGATCATACAAACTGGCAATATATGACATATCTGTTCCTGGGTAAGTCAAACAGCTCTCGTCACCCATTATCATATCAATGCGTTCTCACCAGTTGACAGCTTGTCCCTGATTAGCCGACGCAAACGCTGTTATTCTCTGCGTTGCTGCGCTTGAGTGACCTCAGGTGCCTGTATGCACCTCCGGTACTCAATTGCACATTTTCTACAGCAAAAATTACGACATAATAGTGGCAAATATAGTGGCGTCACACCAGCAGGCACATTGACACCCCTCACCTTGCCCTTCGCACCCCATCGAAGGGGACCTTGTTTCTGTAGCGAAACTCGCAGAGTTGCAGCCACTTCAAACCTTTTCCAGCATGCTGAACGTTTCCTCTTATCTCAAATATCATAAGCATGCTATTGGCACTTGGCTAAAAACCTTTAACTTGCACTTGGAGAGCCATAAGTGCCATTTCCGTTGTAGAAAGGTAATTTTTCTTAAAATTGGCGAAGTTTGCTTAGAACCGTTGTTTGCTTTACGTTCTCATGGCGACTGACCATGGTATTTAAAGTTTTCGTTTTGCGTGATTGACATTCGCAACAGACATGTCTTTCAGCATGTGAGATATGCAGATTATGTATTAACTTTAAAGGTTCGTATTTACTACCTGAACTTTTTCTCATTAATTAGTAGACACCCGTTATTTGTTTTGTGTCACATTTGGTCCCCCTCTGCACCAATTTTGGGTTGTACAGATAAGATGTAGACTGAAAGATATCATATCTTTGATGACTAACAGGTGTGTAGCTGTAGAGGACTAATCATTATAGCATGTACTGTGCATTAGAATGCTGCTAGATACTTTGTCAAAGCTGAACAGGTGAAAAACCTAGGGTATATCCTTACCTAGGAAAACCTCCTTACCTTGGGCCTGGGTACAACACCTAGCCTGACATCCAAGGCTTGGTGAGGTGTAAGTGAGGTCTACTTTATATGCTTGGTTTATAAGGCTGCATTTGCATGTCTAGTAATGCAGTTGATTTGTATGCACAAAATATTATTTCATGTTTTGCAACAGCGTTAATTATATTTTGTTATAACGTGTGGTGGTGATCCTATCATTGAACATTTATCATTTTATACACCAATCGATTCCCTGCAGTATTGTAGCTTTCTGCCATTGATGTGACATGCCACCGTTTGGCAGGACTGACATCATGTGGGGCGGATCGGAGAACCAGTCCCAGAAGACGCTGGGGATGACCTCGGCCATCAGCCTGGCACCGGCCAAGCCAGCTGACCTGGAGAAGTCCCGAGAGCTAGAGAGCTTTCTGCGGGACCAGGACCAGTTCGAGGCTGACGTCGAGCTACACCAGAGGTGTGTTCATGGGCGCCACACCGCAGCACCGATGCGTACTGCTGATGGCGAGAGCTGGCACAGAGATGATGGTGCACAGTTCGGTAGTGTGTTGTGACCCGTGCAAGAGAACGCCCACTACTGCAGGGTTCGTTACTGATTATGAATTCTGTACTAGCTCTGCGTGTGCAGTTGAATGAAGTAACATTCTGTTTCAGGCTCGAGGTTCTTAGTAAGCTCAACACACTAGTAAAAATGTGGATTAGAGATGTGAGTATAGCCAAGAACATGCCAGAAAGCGTCGCATACACCGTCGGAGGCAAGATCTACACATTCGGCTCCTACAGGTATGGTGATTAGTTCGATTGTCCCAATTGGGATATCAATTACTGAATCTGTTTGATTTTCTTATCCGATGTGACCATTTTTGCGTTAATTTCTTCTGTCATTCATTTACAACCACATGAACTGTTTACTTGAGCGTTTGATGAGAACTGGTTCTTCAGGTCTAATGACATTTGCTGAATGCCCAGTCATTATGTATATGATATAATAGCTGTACCCCAAAGATCGCCGGCTGTGCCGCTCGTTGTTGCTGACTGCGCTGCCCCTGCCGCAGACTGGGCGTCCATAACCGCGGCGCCGATATCGACACGCTGTGCGTGGCGCCGCGGCACGTGGAGCGGTCCGACTACTTCTCCAGCTTCCTGGAGCTGCTGCGGAACACGCCGGGCGTCACCGACCTCAGGGTGGGTGCTGGGTGGTGGGCAGGGCGCCATCGTCAGGCGGAGAACGCTGTGTTTGTTCAGCTTCCCGCACGCCGATTTACCACCATGCTGTCTGTTTTGTATCGCCGTTTTCCCATTTAAAAACCTGACCATGTCAAGTTTGGCTAGATGCTGTTGGAAGCTTCTTCTTTGCAGCTTATTTAGAATTATAATACTTGTAATATAAAACACTTTTTAAATAAGTGCATGAAGCAGTTTACCGTTTTCATCACCTACCAGACATAATAAATTGTTATTCATTACGATATCAGCTACCCAATCCTTGACCTCAAGACAGCACCGGTTTTGCTGTGGGTGCTTATCTGATGTGGTCCTTGATGTTTACTGCCATTGCTGTTGCAAAGCTGTCATTGAGAGTTTCTTCTGCCCATAGGCAGTGGAGGACGCCTTTGTACCCGTCATCAAGATGGAGTTTGACGGCATCGAGATCGATATGCTGTTCGCTCGCCTGGCGCTGAAAGAGATCCCCGATGACATGGTAGGTACTCCCGTCGTTTTATCGGCTTGCATCATGTCTTATGTCTTTCTGCGGCGGATATGAACACTCGCATGCTTAGCAAGGTCCAGTGCCCTCACTGTTAAGTCGCTCCTATCCCACTTGCTGATATAAATTCCCTCCTTTTCCCCCAGGACCTTCGCGACGACCACCTGCTGAAGAACCTGGACCAGAAGTGTGTGCGCAGTCTGAACGGTTGTCGCGTGACGGACGAGATTCTGAGGCTGGTACCCAACGTGGAGACGTTCCGACTGGCTCTGCGCGCCGTCAAACTCTGGGCAAAACGTAAGATGGGATGGTGGTAGGCTACTTGATACCTAGGCCCTGTTCATGAACCCCGGCGGTCGCTGCGGCCGCTGCGGTCGCTGCGGTCAGCCGGGTTGTTGCGTCACGAAAAGGGGCGGGGCTCATGTAGTATGACGAATGTATGACGTCACCTTGCTGCGGCCGCTGCGATCTCTGCGGCCGCAATCCAGCGACCGCCGAGCCGCAAGAAAACTAATTGCACTGAACTTGGCGCACTGAAGTCAAATAGGCGCAAGCCGTGTTGTCATGGAGACGATTTTGTTAACAAATTATCTAGCGGTGTGCTTCAGTTGTAAATAATTGTCGGAAACTATTTCGGCAGCAGACGCTGTTCATGGAACGCTGCTGCGGCCGAGTGAGTGATGACGTTTCAAAAATGGGCGGGGCTTAGAACCTGCGGCCGGCCGCAGCGGCCGCAGACTTCATGAACAGGGCCCTGGTGTTATGAGGTTATCGGTGGAGCCAACAAATAACTAAATGCACTTACTTTTATTGACGTTTCGGTTCCAAACAACCTTCGTCAGAATAGAATTACAAGTTAAAATATAAATATACGTCTCAAATGCACATATTTCAAACACACTGAGAACAGCAGAGATAAATTCAAACTGCGTCAACACTGGCTACGTTTAAAGTCTTCGTGGAACGTGACACTTATAGTTTTTGTTCATCCTACTTGTAGTGCTATTTTTGCAGTATATTTTGATAGCGTAAAGAAACCAGCTCTCGTGTTTGTTGTCTCTTCAAGACGGATGAACGCTGCTTCAACCGCTCTTCTTAGTTGTCTGCTAGCGCATTCCCGCAAAACTGAAGCCCCATCCCACCTTGGTAAATGGTCAGACTCTTCCATGTGTAGAACCATGGCGTTACTCAATCGATGGTCCCGTGTATCTCTTTTGTGCTCTGTCAGGCGAGTTTTGAGCCCCCTTCCCGTCTCCCCTATGTATTTCTTATGACACCCCCCACATGGTATTTGGTAAACTACGCTGATCTTTTCTACGTTGCCGGTCGTTGGTTTACTTCTGATAATTTCGCCGCTCTTCTTTCCTGTGGTTATTACGACTCGTATAAATATCCAACGTGTCTCTCGTCGTGTTTCCGCAGCTTTGTCCTTTTGAATCGTTGTGTAGACATTCTGAAGGCGTTCTGACTTTTTGTTTATATAAGTCTGAGAGTAAGCAAGACTGACAGCATGATTGCCGGCAGGGCGCGGCATCTACAGTAACGTGCTGGGCTACCTGGGCGGCGTGTCGTGGGCCATGCTGGTGGCGCGGACGTGCCAGCTGTACCCGAACGCGGCGCCCTCCACCATCGTCAACAAGTTCTTCCTCGTGTTCAGCCAGTGGGAGTGGCCGCAGCCGGTACTGCTGCGGCAGCCAGACAACGTCAACCTCGGCTTCCCCGTGTGGGACCCGCGGGTCAGTGGTATTTACTATTTGGTGTATTTGCGTGATATGCACGATGTACATTGTACACCTTTGGTGTAAATTCTCATTTTTAGGAGACAGGCTGGTTGTCTGCATTAGCTTGAAAAATATGCGGTGGGAAATATTATGTGGACTTGGCTTCGACGATTGGTATTGTTGCTAACTGCGCTCATTGTGCATACCGTTCGCAATAATTGTATTTGAATAGGAGCCAGGACTTGGTCTTCCTTCACAGTTCGTAAATATGGTAAAGTTTGAGATATTTCCCGGAGCTGATCGGACCAGTATTGAGGCTTCGCCATCGCCCTGCGGACGGACGAGTTGGCGATGTCTGACCTCTCTGTGGTGGCGCAGTGTTCGCTGCTGGGGCTGTCAGTCGGCCGCAATGACGAAGTCTGGGCAGGACCTGGCCAGAGGCGGCCGTAGTTGACGATGTCTGACGGCGGATCCGTGGTTTTCAGGTGAACGTGTCTGACCGGTTCCACCTGATGCCCATCATCACACCAGCGTACCCGCAGCAAAACTCCACCTTCAACGTCTCGAACAGCACACGCACTGTCATGACGGAGGAGTTCAAGACGGGCCTGGCGGTCACCAACCAGATCCTGGACAGCTCGTCGCCCTGGGAGCTGCTCTTTCAGCCGCACTCGTTCTTCGCCAAGTACAGGTAGGCTGGACAGTGGACACAGTGCTCCGTTTTGATCGTAACACAGCTAGTTGCCAGCTTGCTTCTAAGTGGATTAGTTGTAGATGCTCCCACGTTTTTCCATAACGTGTCAAACGCAAGCCATAGTTACTTTGAAAGAAAAGATTCAGCCAGCACAATTAAAGTCGAGTGCAATATTTTAGCCGTGACATTTGCGAAAAAGAAGAAAAGTGTTTTTCAGGATGTTTGCACTTGTGTAGCTATTTTGCTTGATAGGTTACGTTCCCAGTAGACTGCGATCATAATTTCCACATGATGCTGGCTGCTGGTGAACCAAATTGACTTGTTCATTAGCCTTGTTTTCAAAGACACTAAACGGGTGATTTTGTCCTCTCCAGGCACTATCTGATGATCGTCGTGTCTGCGGACACGGAGGATGACCTGCTCGAGTTCCGCGGCCTGGTCGAGTCCAAGATCCGCCACCTGGTCACGTCGCTGGACCGCAACCAGAACATCAGCCTGGTGCACGTGAACCCGGAGACGCTGCCGCCGCCGCCCGACTCGGCACCGTACGTTAACGTATAGCGTCGCTCAGCGCCCATACTGGGTCCACCTGGCTTGTCTACACTCATGGGTTTTGAAGCCGCCCCGGGTCCAGGACCCCCGGGCCGTCCCGCACTCCCCGGTTACAGTGGCAGGGTGTCAGCTGAGCGCGGGCGAACGTTTGGGCCAACTCTCCTATGAGGCAGGGTTGTGCTTGACTCATGAGTCGAGTCAGAAATTTGACTCAACTCTGACTCAAATGAGTCAGATTTGAGTCGAGTCGGATAAAATGTTGAGCTGTTGAGTTGAGTCAGAGTTGAGTCGGACAAAAATATTAAGGCGTTGATTTGAGTCAGAGTTGAGTCAGTAAAATAACTTTTAACATTGAGTTGAGTCAGAGATTTAGGAACATGAGGCAGCTGACTCAACTGCCTAGAAACTATTTATAAAGCTTTTCATTCCCCTCCCCTTCCCGCTTAACAACTTAGCCCTGGCCCTGCTGCTGGATTTTTTCACCCCCCCCCCCCCCCCTCCGCTCAACTACTTTTTTATATGAGTCAATTTTGAGTCAACTCACTTGACTCAACAAAAAATTTGAGTCAAGTTTGAGTCAGTTAATATTTTCATTGAGCCGCTTGAGTCATGATTCGAGTCAAGGGAAAAAATCAGCTCCCTGTTTGAGTCAGAGTTGAGTCAGGGCTTTCTGAAGTTGAATGATGAGTCGAGTCGGCAAATTTTTTTGAGTCGAGCACAACCCTGCTATGAGGTGTATTATTCAGAATGCTTGGTGTACGGCACGTCGACTGCTGCACATTCCGCCTATCAATATTGTAAGACGTCGATGTTGTGGTGGTTTGTTACGCCTGATTGCTGACTGCTGTTCTGTATGTCCGTTTTCCAGAGGAGCACACAGCTGCGTCTGGGCTCTGGGCCTGGTGTTCAACAAGTCCGAGCACCTCAACGTCGATCTGACGCTCGAGATTCAGAACTTCACTGAGCACGGTGGGTTACTGGCTCGGCATCACGCCGCGGGTCATCAGTTAAAACTGATTTAACGCATGATTAACGTCATGCGCTCGCTTAACTATTGCGGTCTTCGAAAGCTAAGAAATAAGCGAGACATGTTAAAGTGGGTGACGCAGTTGAGTGAGAACTGATACTGCTTTTATCGTTAATGTTCCCGACTAAGCCGAGTGTGACCACATGTCTCTGCCGCCGTCCAGTGCACAAGCAGGCTTACTCGACGGCCAAACAGCAGATGAAGGAGGGCAACAAGCTGGACGTCAAGTACGTGAAGCGGAGACAGCTGGTGCAGTACCTGCCGGCGGCCACGCTGCAGCTCATGCGGAAGGTAGGTGGCGCCCGGTGACGGCGCCCTCCGGCCTACACCGCCCGGCTCCCCGTCAGTGAAATAATGTCTTTGTCTTCATAGCTTGGGGTCATCCATGGAAATCATTGATCTATCAGCTGAGATAGGTACTGGGTAGGGCATGATGGGACAATGGGACATATGCTCAAATACTAAATCATGGCGTGGATTTCTCCCAAACTCACATAAGTCGAGCTGTAAGTCAGGGGTGGAGGTGCATGACGTTTTTCAGCACAGATCTTTATCGATTCATGTAAATCTGTTGAAAGCTTTCACCATCTGACAAGCTTATTTATGATTGCACTCTGCTATTTTGAATTCATCATTCAAACATGCACTTGCATGGATTGCTGTGTGAATTGTAACGGCATGTTTGTTGGTGGGACCCGCTTTATTTTCGAAAAAAAAAATTTACATGTGTTTGTGGTGAAATACTGTTTGTAAATATCAGTCACGCTGCTTGCATGCTTGTCTGATTCTGGTGAATTGTTGAGAATGCTACGGTCACTTGGGCTATGGGAACGATAGCATTACCCAATTACGCTTCCGGATTCGGTATACTTTTCTTTCTTTGTCCCTTGTTTTTGAAACCCTTACATCTATTGTGTGAACGTGGTAATTGCGGTTTGGCGGTATCCCTGTGCACTGTCCCGGTGAGGGCACTGGGTCCGGTCTTTTGTCGCTCGCCGGGAGTCCGTCCCACTGCCCGCATGCCCCGCTGCCTGCTCGCTCGTGCACCTCCCCTCGCCGCGGCGGCGCGGCGGGCGGCCGGCCGTCCTCCGTCCGCCCGCCGTGCCGTGCGGTGGCGGCGCCATCTGACCAGGTGCGCCCGCCGGCCTGCTGGCCGCCGCAGGCCATCCGCTGCAGCGCCGTCCGCCTGCAGTCGCGCTCCGACACGGCTCTGGTGCGGCCTGGGGAGACGGCCGAACACAGACTGCGACGCCAGGTCGGTCCGCGGCCGCCCTCCCGGTGGCCGGGCGCTGCAAATACCTCTGCCACCATCGGGGAGGTGTTTTTGCATCACTGCTGAACAAACATCCCATCACGGCGAACTGGGCTCCTTTGTTCAAGCACCCCTCCGCCTATTCAGCTAATCCTAGCCTTTCACGCGCGATCATCAGCGATCGCGAAAATCAGCCACTGAATGATTCACTGCACTAATCAAATCGCTGTTATTGTATAATGTGTAATCGTCAGCTTGCTCCTAGCATGGCATGTGTTTTATGGAATGGTTATGTGGTTGGCACTGGGCACTGGGTCTGCACTGCATGCCATCCTGGTGGGTCTGTCTTACACATTTGTCCTGCCGGCTGGAGCCCCTTCTGACACGACTGTCCCCCTCCCCCCCCCCCCCCTCTGGCAGAGTCTCTCGGCGGCGGCGCTCCCGTCTGCGGGCTCGAACGGCGCCTCGCCCACGCCGGCGGGCCAGCGCACCAAGCGACCCTCCGAGTCGGGCACGGCTGGCGGCACGCCGGACTCACTGGCGAAAAAGTCGCGCACCACGGACTCTGTGAGTGGCGCTGTGGGCACACCCACGCGCTAGGGGCGGGGTGTGCAATGCACTCTGTGCGTTCTGACTCGTGCGCAGTTGCTTTGTGAGGTTGATATGCTTCATTCCACAGTCAAATATCGACTAAATGGCCCAAGTTTGAAAAGAACACCATCGTACGCCTGTATCGCGTATAATACTTTTTTCAAATAATTTGTGATAGGGAAGCTACTGGATTTCGAGAGAAAAGGTTTTACGATTTTTTTTATTTAGATCCGTCTTAGTTTGTGGTTTTAGTTTAAGTGCAAATATTTGCTTAATTATAGTTTGTGCTTCGTCTATTTTTTTATTGAAAAATTGTTTTCAGTAAGGTGGCTCACCCTTATCTGGTAAGTAATGATAGTAATGGGTGCTCGATAACTATCATTTACCGATATAAAGTCTAAAGTCTTCAAGTAATTTCCTGTTACCGCATTGCGCCACAGTTTTTTCAGTGGTTTGCTGATTCACGTCAAGATGGCACGCTTTGTCTTACCACGCCGTTGTGACCCATTTTCCGTCTTTGTTTTGGATAACTTGTTTTAAAAGCACTTCTTTGTAGTTACATTGATAAGGGCCTGACGCTGACACATTTGTTTTATGCTCGCGTAAACGGCAGAGGGTCCGATTGTCGGATATTTTCTGTCATGCATCGGTTAGGAATTTGATTACCCAAAGATCGCTTATCGGTGCGGGACTCGATTGTTCGATGATTGTACATCAGTGAGGGAGTTAGTGACCTCCGGTGATACGTCTGTCTTTTACGGCGATGTCCCGAGTTCTGACCCTCCGGTGTTTGTATGTATCGGGACGTTACGAGGCGTTGCCTTTGGCCGCCGTGTCGACTGACTGACGATGCCGACATCTGCTGCACGCAGGCAGCGGATGTGGCCGGGCTCGCGAACGAGGATTCCAACTCGAGTCTGACGACGGTGCAGACGGCGCCTGCCCCGGCCGCGCCCGGCTCGGCCACTGTCGACTCGCAGCTCATTAAACAGGTCAGACCTCAATTATTAGATAGTCAGACGAGGAGTCATTCAAATTCGTGCGTGTCACTTTTTATTTCAGACATTTACGCCTGATGCACGAACGCTCACGATGTGATCTCATTCAGAGAATCAGCATTGCTTTATGTATGCACCAGACAATTTGTCGTGGCCGCTGTGTGTTTGGCGCTGACGTCTGACGTACTGACGCTTGCTCCGTGCTTTACCGTGCTGACGCCCGCCCCGCACCGTGCCACCAGGTGTCGTCCCGGCCGCCGGTGCCGCTGCAGGTCTCTGCTGACGGCGAGCGGTGACGCAGCCGGAGCGCCGCAGCCCGCTCCGCCGGCCCGCCCGATGGTGCTGGAGGCAGGAGCGCGAGCGTTGGAGACCAGCCGAGCCGCGCGGCCCGCCTCCCGTGCCGACCAGTGACGTATGTGTACCAGTGAGGTGTGGTGTGAGTGTGTGTGAGCGAGAGTCTGATTCCTGTCCTTTGTCTGATTTTTAACGCATCATCCAACATTCCTTATCGAGAAGTTATTAGAAAAACAAAAAACCCATAAAAACAAGAAAAGAAAAAACGATGGTTCGTTCACATATTACGTACCTGACTTCCTGTCTGTTCTGTACAAATGCGAGTCTTTGTGTGAGAATGCAGTGTGTTTACATGTGGGGGTGCTTGGCAGTGCTCTGTTTCTATCGTACGCAAGTCGATATTTATGTGGAAAGGGTGTACATTTGTAAATAGCCATTCGCAGACCAATCGTTTCGTTTTCGCCTCATACTTGGGATCACCTATCGGCCGCAGACCGTATCAAACAATAGACGCCAATAAAGTTATCTGGAAGACCGAGCGTTTGAGAGATGTGTTTGCCGTCTGTTTCTGCTGTCGACTAAGGGCAGTTTGGTGCTGTGGAGATGATATAACGATCAATACGAAACGTAAAACTGATGCGACGAACACAGTCGTTATCGTATGCGGAGAACGGGACTGGTGTAGTGTTGATGGGAAGTGGGATGGTCGGCGGTCGGATGTGGGGATCCGGCCAGCCGGGGTAGGGCGCAATGGCACCGTGCACGACAACATCAGCTGTGCTGCCACCAGCTTAATGGGTACATGAGCCGCCTCCTGGATCACGTCTCACGGCAGATGCTGCCGTGCTTGTGCTTTTTATGTCATAAGCAACGAATTAACGACTACTCAACTTAGCTATTATCTACAAAACTTTGAAAGCCGAGACAACGCACGACATTTCAAGCGGAAGCGTCCGAGGACACTGTGACCCTCGCAGTGGTATGCATGCTTGACACGCATTGATTTGACACGCGGCGGGACGGGGCGTCGCAGCTCCTATCAGGTGGTCTGAGCCGGGGACAAGGGTCGCTCGGCGGGCCGACCGGCGCGGCTAGCAGTCAGTCGTGCCCCGCGCCCGTGGAACAGTGTCGGTGGCTGCTGGCAGCGTGTAGGCGCCCTAACATAACTGGCCACCGCCAACATTAGCGTAAGCGTGGCGCGGACAGCCAATGGCCCAATATTGTGACTGGTGTGAATTGCATTTTTGTTTGACAGTTGACGGATGAATGATCGGATTTCAGTTTATTTATCATTTTTCGAAAGCACTGTAATGGACTCCATGGAAAAGAATATTCAATGATCTTACCGGCATGGATTAAGACCAAGAGCCCACTAGCTCACCCGTACTTACTTTTGAGCTTTTCATGGTGGGATTTTCTCACTCGTCTCATACTGGCTCACCACCTTCAGGCCTCAGCGTCCCGATTCGTTTGGCTCACATTACTCGTACCTGTCTTTTTCATTTCATCATATTTGTCTCTCCTCATACATCGCGCACGTCTTTTCCTATCAGTTGCATAATGGGAAACCCAAAGCTTTACCTCTAATGGCTTTACACTTGCAAAGGTTCCCCGTGTATTTTTTTGATGTTGCGATTTTTTGCAGGGATTTGGCAGCAGCAAAGTGCTTCCACTTTCAGCCATATATGACGCAGTGAAGACATATGCTGCGCAAACACTCAACAAAGAGGGCTCGTTGCTCGGAAAAAACAACAACAAAGACCGAGACAATTTTTCCAGAAGAGGACTCAGCTTCAAATTGAATTAGCTTGAGTTGTGGAAAAGCTTTTCTATCAATACTAGGTGCAGCTCAAGGCTATAATACAAATAGCCTGCAATGCTGTGTTAGAAATTTAAGTGGATGCAAGCATAGTCTTGAATCAGCGTGATGGACTATTTGAGGAACGTGATCGACACCCTCCAAGATCCATACTTGGTGTCAAGATTTCAACGTTACTTCGGTATTAGAGAGACATCTTATCCTGAAGCTCCAAAGTTTTATCAGAGAAACGGCAGATCATATGCCCGTGACTTAAGCCCAGTCAGTCACGGACAGGATGAGTATGTGGAGACGACCACCTTGAATGATGAACAGTCGTCAGGCGCAGCTGTGAAGCGATTTGTTGAAAACAGCAGCACACATGGAAATCAAGGGAGTGATGATGAAACCTCTGGGTCCGATTCAGCAGGCTCAGGAAAGTCCAAAATCAAGGCTTTGCTGTTTCAGAGCATGACAGCAGAAGGAGAGTACACAGACTCTGATGGAGAGACAAGAGATTTTATAGTCACAAAGCCATTTTGGCATGCATTGTTTGTATTTGGAAGTGCTCTTGGTGATGAACTATTTTATGCAACATTTTTCCCATTGTGGTTTTGGAATATTGATGGAGCTGTTGGAAGAAGAGCAGTTCTAGTGTGGTATGGCATCATGTATATAGGTAAGATTTCAGTATTTTAAACAAGTTATAACCTTGAGTTAGTTTTTATATAATGCCTAAGAACCATAATCTTCCCTAATGTCATGACTGAGCATTAGAAACATTTCATTATCTACTTTAAATGCTATTTCATTTTTATCAGGCTAGGTAGCTTTCAGTTCTTGCTAATATGCTTATGTATCCCTTTGGAGTTCCATTTTCATTGCACTCTGACATGAACCACTGTCACTAAGCCCATGATACCTTCATTGCCAATTTTCATGTCATCTGTATGTTTTCTAGGGCAGGCCATGAAGGACGTCCTGAAGATACCACGTCCAGCGTGTCCTCCAGTAATACGGGTGCAGAAGAAGTGGGCTCTGGAGTATGGATTTCCCTCTACACATTCCATGATTGGGATTGCAATGCCAGCTGCACTCTCAATATTTACCATTGAGCGCTATCAAGTAAGTGGCTGTCTGTGCCTGTGGCTTAGGTATCATTGCTTCCGTGGTGAAAATTGCTTCATTTTTCCTTCAGTTTACAGCAGACTGGTTCTAGCAGCTCAAAACCCCTTGGGTCAACTTGGAAGTTGGGTACACACTACACAGCCAATGTAAAAGTAGGGGAAATGTGATAGCCCTAGCCCCATCCTTTGACCTCAAATTTGAAGGTCAAGGACAAGGAGCTTCAGGTCACCAGTGTGAGTCATATAATGTCTGCTCCTTTGATGAACAATTCAAGATCTTTTATTGCCATTTGATTGAAGAATTCAATTTCAGTTTGATTTGAGAATTTGATTTGATTTGATCAAACCTCCAGTTTATAGGTACATAAAATAAGTGATCAAAGGTCATAGGGCTATCCTGGCTGTTCTTAGACATGAACAACACTTCAGGATCACTTGTCACTTGGCCTCACACTGCTGGGCTCCGAGGCTGGGTGATTGAGCACCGCACAATAACATATCTACGCTCATCTGAAAAAGGGGTGTGTTGCCACTATTTTTGCTCTTGTACCTTTTGCACTTACTTTGTCAACAAATGAGTCCAGGCCAGGGCCTCTCACAGTCTGTTACTCAACTAAGTATAAGCATAAAGTACCAATCGCGAAGTTAGGTTACGAAAGGTGATACCCGTGTTTCTGTACTACAGTAGCTGCGGCTGATTCGGACACTTATTACACCACATTTCCGTGTTTTGTTCGGCAGTACCCGGTGATCCCGACCATTAGCGTCGCCACGGGGGGGCAAGCGGGGCAGCTTGCCCCCCCAACCTCGGACCGGGCACCCCCTGAGATCGATACAGATCCGATGAGATTTTGGAGTCGGGAAAAAATGGGGGTACCTTTCTGAGAATGCCTGTGAGGTCAGACTCGGTTGGAGCGTGCAGTTCAAACCAGAGTCTGACTCGCAGTCGCCAAAATCTTCAAGACTCCGAGTCCATACTCGGAAATGTCAATGCTGTGATTCATTCCATGTTCCTAGTTCGTTCTTTGTTACATTTTACAGCTGATTTTCATAAGTTTTGGAGTGCTGACACAATTTTCGTTCAAAGCGTGAAACGAAATCTTTGGGGCCTTTCTCAACTCTCGTCAAATGTCTGCGACAGGCTCAAGTACCGTACAAGTGTCGCAGGGCTCATGAGCTTGCTTTAAACAAAGGCTCCTAAGGAGCTCCACTGAGCCCTGAAGCTTTCAGAGGGCCCAAACCGGCCTCTGAAAGTCCCACTGGTGTCCATGTTCTCTGAGGGCCCATACAGGGATCTTTGAGCCTTCGAACACTTCTGAGAACCTTAACTGGCCTCTGATAGTTCAGCCAAACTTTTGAGGCGAAAGACTTTGCTAACCCCAAGCCGGCATCTGAGGGGTCACAGCTCACGTGTCCCTCTGAGGTCCGCAACACATGTTTATTATATCCCTACGTAGGGTCCTTAAGGATTCGACACAGACCCCGAGGGTTCACACTGTTATCTGAGGGCTCCAAGCTCACCCTGGGCCTAGTCTCTTAGCGCCCGCCGCCCACACTGGCTTCTGAGGGTCCCACCTTGGGCTCGGAAAGCCCTAAAGCACCACGTACACGTAAATATTTGAGGTGACCCACGCCGATCTCCGGGATCCTAATTCCTAAGCATGCTTCTGAGAGTCAGCACTGACCCTGAGTGGCCTGAAATGGCCTGGAAGTTCCAAACCTATCTCTAAGGGATCCCTTGCCGCTATGCCGTGCGTAACTTTTGGTTCCGTTTAACAGTTTTTGTTCGCGTTTGCAGCGTTTCCCTTCACACGAAAAACGAGAAACTTTTGCTCACACTCGAGTGAACAAAACACTTCCTCTCACTGGAGCAAAGATGAATCACTTCCGATTCACATTTCCGACACTCACTCTCCGCCGAATGCCCAACTTAGCTACGATCGGCGGCTGGGATAAGTCCTATGCATTTCACGTAAAACCTCTGCATGCATGCGTGAATGGAGGTTTTAGCTGGGTGATCCGATTAAATGGAGCGTTTTTCACCTTTTTCTGGGTAATGATCATGAGCGTCGAGCGTCTGCACAGGGGCCCTCTGCAGTGCGTCGGCAATCGCAGCCACTATATAGTATAACTCTACCAGTCGTTTTTGTCATGAAATTTCAAAATTTCGAATTTTTCTGTAAAAAATTACATGTCATAGCTAGAAGGAAACCTTTGTCACCATCTGATTCCTCGCACCATTGCGCGTCGAATGATATGTAAAACGAGTGAGTAAAGACTGGGAAAGGCAAGTTTTAACACAAAAGTTGATTTTGCCCCCCCCAACCGAAAATCTCTGGCGACGCCTATGATCCCGACACTAATTGCACCTCATTTTCGTGTTTTGTTCGGCAGTACCCGGTGATCCTGGCCGTGATCCCGGCGCTCTTCTGGTGTCTCAGCGTGTGCGGAAGCCGACTCTACCTGGGCATGCACTCGGTGCTGGTGAGATAATCGCGATGACACGCTCGCATATTTACAGCTTTTACATGTATTATATTCATTTTTTATGTAAGGGAGACTCGAATGCCCACGCGGAATGCTGCGTGTCTGCAATGCCATTCGGTCACTGGCCATATGGCTGCGACTGGCTATTTTAGTTCTTAGTTAAGTGGTGTTATTATCGGGACCGTTGCCGCGGCGTACCGCCCAGTGAATGTGTTAGCTGACACGCCAGCAGTCTCGTGGTAGGCAGGTGTATTCACAGACAGTCACACCCAGCAGCGTCAGCGGCACTCGTCACCACACTCCGGCGCCGGCGACCGCCCGGCACCGCGCTCCGGTCGCCACTGCCCGCCGGCCCGCCGGCCGGCCGGCCGGCGCCCTGACCCAGTTCGGGTCAGCCGGGACGTCACTGCCCGTGACTTCACCGGCTCCGCTCTGCGGCGCGGCCCCCGATGCGCAACGTACATCCCAACACTCCTCCCCCCTTAAATTAAGGGATCCATGGGGGACCCGTTTAAATACATTCTGCGCGCAGCCGGACACAAAATAAACATGTACTCGTAATCACACAATAATGATAGCCGGACCACTACGCATTGGAACACTTTTCCAAATACACCTCGTGTACAGTCCAGGTACAGTCACACGCTCACCCGCCAGATACCGCCACCCAGGGCGCCAACCGCGGGCTCAAGGCGAGTCCGCAGCGTCCGCCACCAGCCACGACGGCAGCCGCGAGCCCAGCCGCTCGTAGCCCGGGCCAGCCAGGTGGATCCCGTCTCGGGCGAAACACGCCGAGGCGTACACATAATATCCGCGCCTCTTTCCGTTCCGCCACTGGCAAACTCGTCGCCCAACACTCAGCACCTTGGTGCGGCACGAGTGGCGCAGCTCCCGCTCAAACCGGAACGCCGGCGTGTCGTTCCACAACTTTCCATCATCGTGGGCCGGCCGGGGTGTCGGTCCGATGAGGCTCACGTCCGGGACCACCCCGGCCAGCTCCGAGAGGAAAGTGACGATGGTGGCCATGTCCGGTGCACCTCCTCGACCACCCGGACCGGGGTAAATGTCATTGCCGCCGATCCAGAGCAGGACCGGACCCAAACGCCTGCCCTCCGCCCGCGAAGTCTCCGACCATGTGGCTACTTGATGCCGCACCCAGTCGAGGCCGCATCTCCAGGAGAGTCCTCCCTGAGCCGCCACTGTTAGATGGAAGGGTGGACGGGTCGAGAACCGGGCCCGGCGGACCATCGAGTCCCCCACGACCAGCACGGCTTCGCCGCGCGTTCCCGGGGGCGGCGTTGGCGGTGGAACCGATCCGGCCACCGATGCCAATCCCGTCGATGCCCCGTCCGCTCCGCCGGCGCCAGCTGTCGTCTGCTGTTCCCCGGCTTCGTTGGACTCGCGGGAGACCACCTCGGCGCTCCTTCGGTCTGGCGACGAACTTTGCACGGACCGTCGCCCGTCAATAGTGACGAGGAGCCCCCCGACCTCGCTAGGTTCAGGGGACTTCGCAGCGGCTACCGCAGGCCCCGGGCCACTTGTGGGCGACAGTAGCCCCCATTCACCCTGGGTCATATTCGATATGGCCCAGTCCCCAGCGTCCCATAGCTCATCTGGCAGAGGGCTGCCGAGTAGCTGAGCGAGGACGTCGGGCGACCCCAGGACCACGTCCTCCGCCGGTGGCGTCGCGTCCGCTGCGGCGTCCGAGGGCAGGACGCGGCGGCCGCCGAGCTCCAGCGACGTCACTCTGGCCTCAAGCTCAGCGACGCGAACCCGGAGGGACTCCAGCTCCTCTGAAGTCGTCGCCATCTCTGGGAATGAGAACATCATTAGAGCTCGTTCCGAGCGTCGTCCGCGTCTCAATGATGTGATATATACATGTGACGATGAACCACTGCTCGAGGGTCTAGCACGTCTACTCCCCTTCCCCTTTCTTTTTTAAGAACAGCTCATATTTGTGTTTTAGCTCAGCTACTGTTGGGCTTACGCCAGCCTGATATGTCATAACTGGAATTGACTGACGTCCACTGCGAGTGATATACGGGGTTATCATAGACTCATCGTATGGCATGTCAGGGGATTGGGCGCTCCGAGACTCCTGCTGTGGTGTTTCAGACTCAAAATCCCCATCGGCTTGCATGTTCGGGATCGGTGTCACTTCTTCTTGGGTATCTGATACTATGTCTTGCGCTGTGTAACCGCTCTCTCCATCAGCGTCTTCATTTCCCTTTGGGCATCCCGATGCAGCGCCGGGTGTCTCTGGCGACGAGGAACCCCTCTCGGTAAGCTCACTGTCCTCTGATATCCCGGACGTCTCTCGTGGTGTCCCTGATGACGAGGAACCGCTCTCGGTATCCTCGATGTTTTCTGCACCCCGGTCCATCTCGCCTCCGAACGTATGACCGTCTTCCCTGGGCAGAGCTGCTGAGTGTTGGTAGCTCGATGACGGAGGATGGGGAGGCATGGCCTGTGAGCCGTTACAGTTTATAGACGTGCGTGGGGCCCTGCTGCCGATTCCCGGAGGCCTATCATCAACGCTCGGGCTTGGTACCGCTGACGACCTGGTTGAGTGTCTCGCTCCCGACTCCTCACGCTCTTTGGTACTGTTGTTTATCCCTGGCCGCTGAATAAGTGGTTTCAAGTCGTTGTGGTGAATGACCCGGTCCTTGGACCCTGGTAGTCGTACCTGGTAAGTCACCTCCTTCCCTGCCTCCCCGATGGCTCGCACAATGACGCCCGGCCCCTTGTAGGGCATACCTAATTTAGGTTTACCGCCAACTGAGGCGGTATAGTCGCGTATCCATACCTTATCACCTGTCTGGTAAGCGGTGTAGCGGCTGTCTTGGTCGTACCGTTTTGTAGCTTCGGCAGCTGCTCGAGTTGTGGCTCGACGTACGTCGTCGAAGGCCTTCATCAGCACTTTCCTTCGCTCCTCTGGGAAACTGCGTATCTCCACGATGTCTTGTGGTGTGCCAAAAGCCACATCCACGGGCAGACGAGGCTCAAAGCCATGGATGAGAAAAAACGGTGAGTATCCGGTCGTGTCATGGACTGCTGAGTTGTAGGCCATTGCGTAGGCTTGGACGTCCCTATCCCACGTGAGACCCTGCGCGTCGATGTATTTAGCGACCATATCCTTCAACGTCCGCATGAACCTTTCCACCATGCCGTCACTCTGAGGGTGATAGGGAGTTGTCCTGGTCTTCTTAATACCTAACTGTTTGCAGAGCTCCTGGAATATGGTGGACTCGAACTGCGGTCCTTGGTCTGAGTGCAGTCTCTCCGGGACCCCAAGCTCGTAAACCCAGTCCATCAAGCAGCTTGAGACCGTTATGGCCTTCTGGTCCTTCATAGGGAAGATTCGGACGTACTTACTGAAGTAGTCCATGACCACCAATGCATACTTGTTGCCGCTGGTAGATACCGGCATCTCCGTGATGTCGAGCGCGATCCTTTCGAAAGGGCGGTTCGTGGTTTCGCTGATCATCGGCGCTCGTCTTCTTGGCGTGGGTCTGTTCCGCCTTTGACAGGGCACACACGATCTGCAGAACGCCTTGGCCTGGTTGCACATTCCTGGCCAGCTGAACCGGTTCAGCAGACGGCCGACCGTCTTCTGGGTGCCCATGTGTCCCGACACTGGATGTTCGTGCACCCATTTAAGCACGTCCTCTCTTAGTTCACTTGGTACTAGGATCTGGAAAGCCCTTCTACCCCGGAGTTTGCATTGAAGACCGACAAGACCTTCCTCTATGGTCACGTCGCTCCATCTGCTCCGGATGTAGGCCCACTCACCCAGCTCTTCATGTAGGTCCTGCTGACCCGGCTTCCTGGCGCGCTCCAACAGTTCCTTCAGACGGGCAAGCACTGGGTCTGCACACTGTGCACCGAGGAGCTTTGAATGCTCCTCACCGGCAGCCTTTCGATGGTCTTCTTTCGACGTGGCGTAGAGCTTCGTCTGTTCGGTAGCGGAGATCAGACGCGCAGATTCTCCGGTGACTCGCTCAGGGTCTGGTGGTGGTTGGATGATATCGTCGCTGTCTGTTGTCAAGTGGGCTGATTTGGGCGTTCTCCAGACCTGGCACAGGTGCTGGGGACGTTCGGAATACGTGTACTGCAGCTCGTCTGATGGCGAGTAGTCGCTGACGCCCCTCGCATTTCCACCGCCTGGGTCATTACGCTGTCCGTCTTCTCTCTCGACAGCTGTCTCCGACTGTTCGATTTCTGAAGGCGGTTTTCGTGACAGGGCATCAGCGTTTGTGTGTTCGATTCCTGTCTTGATGGTGACTTCGAAGTCGAATGAGCTTAACTCAGTAGCCCACCGGCCACGTCGGCCAGTGCCATCCCTCTGGGAGTCTATGGACTTCGGTATGTTAGCCAGTGGCTTGTGGTCTGTGATGACGTGGAACTGTGCCCCAGTGGTGTACTGACGGAAACGCCTGATCGCGTGCACCACAGCCCAGAGCTCCTTGTCGTATGTCGGCCACCTGCGTTGCTGTTTTGATAGGACCTTGCTTTCGTAGGCTATCACTTTCTCGTCGCCGTCCACCTCTTCGGTCAGAACAGCTCCAACTGACGTGTTGCAGGCGTCTGTGTACAGGCGGAAAGTGCCCTTGAATGTTGGAAGCGACAAAACGGGAGGTGACGCGAGGCTCTTCTTGAGGACACCAAAAGCCGTATCCAATTCGGTTGTCCAGCGGATGACCCCCTTCTGGTTCGCTGCTTCTCGTAGCGGTCTGCTGACTTCCGCGTATTCCGGAATGAACTTGGCATAATACCCACAGAGTCCCAAAAAGCTCTTCATCTCCCCATCTGTGGCTGGTTTTGGCCAGTTAAGTACCTTCTCAATATTTGAGGGGTCAGGTCGAATCCCTTCTTGAGTGACATGATGTCCCAGGAACGTCACTTCTTTCTTACCGATGAAGCACTTCTGAGGTTTCAGTTTGAGACCAGCTTTCCGCACGGCTTCAAACACTTCTTCCAGTGTCTCGAGATGGCCCTCTTCTGTCTTGTTGAACAAGACGACGTCATCCAGATAGACTAGACAAGTCTTGGCATCGACGCCGGCCAGGACGAGCTCCATCAGCCTTTGGAACGTCGCTCCGGCATTCCGGAGTCCCATGGCCATCTTCCGAAACTGATGCAGTCCTCTGCCTGTGGAGAATGCTGTTTTCTCGCGGTCTTCGGGTGCGATTTCAACCTGCCAATAGCCAGCAGTCATGTCCAGTGTGGTGAAAAATCTTGCTCCTGACAGCCCGTCCAGTGCCTCATCGATTCGTGGCAGTGGGTACGCAACAGGTTGCGTGGCGCTGTTGACCGCCCTGAGGTCGACGCAGAACCGAGCGCTGCCATCTCGCTTCTTCACCAGCACGACAGGTGAACACCAGGGACTGGAACTGTCTTCGATGACGCCGCTGGCAAGCATCCTCGCTTTCTGTGCTTCCACTTGCTCTCTCAGACGATGTGGAACACGCCGAGGCTGCTGTTTTACTGGTGGAGCGTTTCCGGTGTCTATTGGATGTTGGAGAAGGTTGGTGGTTCCAATGTCGTCTGGATGTGTGCTGAATATGTCTTGGAAACGCATTGTTAGGTCCTTGACTTTCCGTTGCCCCACCTCAGACAGGTCGGAGCACGTCAAATCTAGACCAGGTACTGCTCCGCAGTTACCTGGGTTGGCTTCCCTTTCTTTGTCTTCACACCAATCATATTCACCTCCGTCCGCGGATAGTGTGTAGAAGGTGCCAATATCAGTACCCCTGAGAATTCTGGCTTCCTCCGTTGTTGCATTCGTAACCCTCACGGGCACTGTTCCTTCTATGGACATGCTGGCCACTGTCCTGGGTACGAGTAGGTCTTCCTGATCGAGTTTGTCGTTCGGTTCCATCACTCCTTCTAGTGGCTGAGGGTCGTTCTCCAGGATTCTTCCGTCAACAGGATGGAGCTTTGCCCATATCACAGTTTCTGTTCTGGGAGGGATCACAACTGAGCAAGCTGTCTTCACTCTCGATCGTCGTGGCCGGATCTCTTCGTAGGTAGGTAGTGTGAACTTGATGTCTTGTATTTGTAGCGTCCCGTTCGCATCGTCGAGGACCGTTCCCACCTGACAGCAGAAGTCTCGCCCGAGGACTACATCGTGTATGAGGCCGTCTACCACTGACATGGTTGGGCACTCTACTCGTCTGTGCTGTATAAACATTGTCATACCCCGCACTTCTCCTAGAATAGGGACTCTCTCGCCTCCCACGCCTATTGCTGCCCTTTTCGGGGGCAGCATCGTGATGCCTATATCATTACGTACGTGTTCGTAAAGTGTGCTACTTAGCATCGAAAAGTCTGCTCCCGAATCGACGAGAGCCCAGCAGGTGAGACTGGCGATGCCTACTTCTATCATTGCAGCTGTTTGTGGGGACTGGCTGAGTATGTGTGCTGAATCCCGTCCCGCAGATCCAACACTTACCAGTTTTCCGACTGCGGTGGCTGGTAGGCGCCTGATGTCTTCACTCTGGTCTCTCTTCTATCTGGCGACTTTTGACGTTGGCTGATCAATCGCTGGTAGTGCTGGCATTCGACCATCCAGTGGCCATCTTCACCGCAGCACAGGCACCACGGGGCCCGTTGTTCTCTGATGGTGTTAGTGCGCTTTTGCCGGTGTGATTGTCGCGTATTTGGGCAGAAGCGTCGAATGTGTCCTACTTCACCACAGCCGAAGCATCTGATGCTGTTTCTGTCCTGTTGGTCATTCCTGCTAGGTCTCCCTAATGCAGGGCTAGGGCGTGGTGTGGCAGCCGAACCGGTAACCGGTGCCGGCTGGAAGTTCCCTGGTTGCTGGTGGGGTTGTTCCCAGACGGCAGGCACGTCACCTCCGATCCCCGTTTCTGATGTAGGGCATGCTTGGAGGGCCATAACTGAACCGGGATCCGGTGTCAGAGAGGCGATGACCTGCTGTTGTCGGTGTAGTTCGGTGACTTTCGAGATGGCCTCGTCGATGGTTTTTGGTTTGTCGATGAACAGCTTCCTTTGCAGCCAGGGGTCTTGCAGTCCACATATGAAGCGGTTGACCACGGTTTGAATGACTTGGTCGTTTGTGTCCGCCTGGTTCTGGTACGTCCACCTTGCCAGCTTTTTAAGTCTGTCTCCGAACTACTGCACACTCTCGTTTGGTTGTCTGGTCGCTTGGGAGAATGATGCAAAGGCCTGTAGTTCGTCGATTTTAGAACCAAATGTATTCTCGAGGTTGGATTTGACCGCTGTGTACTCTTTCTGTTTCTCGTCAGATAAGGCTGCGCAGGTATCAAGTGCCTTGCCTTCCAACAGACTCACCAGTACGTGAAGTTTGTCACTGTCCGACAGCTGAGCTGTTCGAGCTTCGAAGCGTCCTATCCATGTGTCCCAATCCTCTCCGACTGCGCCCGAAAATGGTGGTGCCCGTGTATACAGCAGTAATTTGGGGTCCATTGTTTTGCTCAGGAATCGCTAGGTTTTGATAAAAGTTAATTATAAACTGTCAGGGCGTAGGCCCGATAGTTAATTGACAACGGTAACTGCTGGCTACAAACCGTTTAGTATGTGTCCGGTATTGGGTAACGATAGACGTTAACTCCAAACCGTTACCTATTTCTTCGGTATTGGGCAACGATAACCGTTAGCTCAAAACCGTTACGACTTTGCCCGGTGTTGGGTAGCGATAAACGTTAAGACTCCAAACCGTTGATTGCTTTGTCAGGTCAAGTATCGTGGTACAAGCCTAAATCATACAAACAATAGACTTCTCACCTTTGGGAGCGTTGGTTGGTCGGACCGCGCCAGTGTTAGCTGACACGCCAGCAGTCTCGTGGTAGGCAGGTGTATTCACAGACAGTCACACCCAGCAGCGTCAGCGGCACTCGTCACCACACTCCGGCGCCGGCGACCGCCCGGCACCGCGCTCCGGTCGCCACTGCCCGCCGGCCCGCCGGCCGGCCGGCCGGCGCCCTGACCCAGTTCGGGTCAGCCGGGACGTCACTGCCCGTGACGTCACCGGCTCCGCTCTGCGGCGCGGCCCCCGATGCGCAACGTACATCCCAACAAATGTCTCTGAGCGTTATCAGTCTCCCGGCGGGGTCGACCACGCGGCGTGCCGTAGCCGTGCGTGGGGCCAGCCGCGGAGCCGCCGCTCCTTACGAGGAGTGGCGACCTTGCCCAGTGAGCGGCGACGACCTTGCCCGGTAACCGGAGACGTCTGTGATCGACTATGGCTCGTGACGCGCCTGCCGATAACACAGATACTGCGTAACGCGATCTCTCTTCTCGTATCTGCGTGCACCGCACCGGAAGGTAGCCCTGGCGCCGCTGTGGGGGATGGGTCTGCTGTGCAAAGGCAAACACGATAACGTTCGGGTGACCTCTGACCTGACGTAACGACCTCTGACCCAACGTTATCGTTTTTGCCTTTGCACAGTGGAGGTATGATCCATAAATCGTCACCTCTTGTTTGGCACATTCTACTGTCTAATCGTACGCCCTTGGCCGTATTTAATCTGTTTTCCTCCCACCTTTGTCACGTCGCTCTCACTGCGACAGGACGTGCTGGCGGGTCTGTTTCTGGGCGTGCTGGTGCTCTGTTGTCTGATCCTGCCCTACATCGATGCTGTCGACGAGTATCTGGTGACCAACACCTACTCTCCGATCGCGCTGAGCGCGGTTATCGCGCTCTCGGTGCTGCTGTACCCGGCGGGCAACACGTGGACACCAGCCAGGTCAGTGGGCATTACTGGTGGACACGTTAGTTGGGTTGATAGCGAGAAATGTCGTTTTTGTTTGTTTGTTTGTTTGTTGACACCGGAATAGGTCACTTGGATTCATATATTGGTTCATGGTTGGTCAGTTGGAACTTGGAGTGACATATGAATATTTTTGACTTTGATGATCACTTTAACAGGTTAGTTCCCTGGGCTGTCGTGGTTTACACTGTTCAGATGCACCACTGGATCGGCCAGTTGGATGACGTATATTTATTCCGTTGATCGTGTGTTGCAATAACTACATGCGGCCATTTGTGACTGCGGTACCGTATCCGATGCGACCCTTGTTATAAATATCCCTCTTTGCCTCCGACAGGGGCGACACGGTGATCATCTGCGCCGTGGTTCTGGGCATCTACAGCGGCGCCTGGATGAACTACAGCAAGCACCTGATCAGCGCGGCCAGCTCGGCGCCGCCCTACGCCATCATCTGGCCGACGTACGAGATGTGGGGCCAGGTACTGGCGCGCAGCTCGATCGGACTCTGCTCGGTGCTGGCCACGCGGGCCATCTTCCGCAGTCTCTCGTACGCCACTGTGTGCGCCCTGCTGCGGCTCAACCAGCAGGATGTGACGCTGCGCCGCGCCAACGTCAGCCCGCGCCAGTTCGTCATCGTCGAGCTCAGCTACAAGTTCATGACGTACGCGGCGGTCGGGTTTGACATCATCTACACGGCGCCGCTGGTGTTCCGGCTGATCGGCATCGAGCGGCCAGAGTTCTACACGGAGGTGTAGCCACGCCGGGCTGGTTACACGCGGTTGGCGTCCGCAGAGTGCAGGAAAGAGGGCGCGCGGCGTGATGGACGCGGATCTAGTGAAGGGCACGGTTGTCGCCATGACACGTCGGCACTGCTCACGGGTACAGTGCCTGGTTTGGTCAGCTGTGGACGCATCCAGAACTCGTGGCAATGCCCAAAGAGACACTTTGCGATGGACGGATATGCACAGCACATAGTTGCAGCCTGCGGGCTTTATGGGCCGCCGCGCGCCACCGCTGTCGCTCAACGTGCACTAATCATTTAGTGAAAATTATCCTGCATGCTCATGTTTAAATATGTATAAGTTAAATTTAAACTATGAATCGCCTCTTCAATCCGTATTTCTTCTCACGAACGGGTGCGTGTGTTTATGTGTGTATGTGTGCGTGTGTGCGCACCAGTTGAGACCAACCGTGATTGCTGGCGTACCGGGTCCGGTCTCCAATCACGCAGTAACGATGACACCGCAGCCTGCAGGGCGGCGCGGGTGTGCACCCAACTGACAGGGACAGCACGCGCTGCCCGCAGGGCTCTTCATTCTACAATCTGTATCTCGTCATACTATCGATAATTCCAATGGCGGGCACCATCTGCGCCTTTATTCACCACATTTACGCACGGTCACCAAACGCCTATATCCGTCGTGCAGTGTGGTGTGTGGCTGCAGCTGTTTGCCGTTTTGTCCGAGTTCCTGTGATGGCCAATGTTTCCAGTGCAATCAAGACGTGGAATACACGCTGTTTGGGATGGACGACACGTCGGTCGAGAGGAGTACCGCAGGCCTAAGGGAAAGGGAATCTTTGGCACGGCGCCGGCGATACGAGAGTGTCGAGCGCAAAACGATCCTAGAATCATCGGATGCGGTGGTTGCTGTCTTGGTGCAATACGTCATCAATCATTCGAGTCTTACTGTCGAAAAGAACAAAAAGATAAGGGCGATGATGATAGCGCTAATCAATTTAAAACAAAGGACAGCCATTAAATCAGCTGACGAATGGCTCTGTGGAATGAGACACCCCGAGTGACAGAACAGTTCCACACGACTACCCCATTAGGAGTTCATTTATTTCAGAATAAAGCCAGGTTATACCTCAACCAGCGACCAAAGACGGTCATAAAAATAGTACACAATCTCCATGCAATAGGCCGTTTGTTCCCACACGGTGGGAGATTGTTCCCCGTAACAATGCTCCCGGACCAGCACTGGAAAAGCCTCTTCGGCCTCGGCTGCGGTAGCATAAACATACAACCCACTCAAAAACACATAGAAAAATACAATGTCAGGGGCGGTCCGATTTCCACCCCTTATTGCATACCACCGACAATATCCACGCAGCAATATCCTTTACCATCACTAAAAATCATCTCGTACACGAGAAAAATACTATGTCGTTTCGGCGCACAGTCGTTGAGCGCCTGTAATGCAGGACATGCCACGGCCATTGGTAAGAGGGTACCACAGCCAGACAGCGTCGAGTCCAGGGGTGTAGGGCGCGCGCGTCACACATCAATACCGCAGAGGGGGCACTTCACCAGCACCGCAGAGAGCCATCACTCGCAACAAGACCACCGTCAGCCAGAAGAGGAGACGAGAGGAGACGAGGGGAGCGAGAGAGGAGAGGAGAGGAGTGGAGAGAGAGAGAGAGAGAGAGAGAGAGAGAGAGAGAGAGAGAGGAGAGGAGAGGAGAGGAGAGGAGAGGAGAGGAGAGGAGAGGAGAGGAGAGGAGAGGAGAAGAGAGGAGAGAATCGACTGTGTCACAACCTGCCCCACCTCTGTCCCCATCAGCTAACATCCAGCGGCGCGGAGCCGTCGTTGGTCAGCATATCCAGCGCCATCCGGGCGGCCGCCGCCGGCGTCACGGCGAAGGCGGTGCCTTTGGCCGCTGCCGTGGGTGCGACGTCCGCTAAGACGGAAGCGGAATCATTGGCTCCTGCTAAGACGGCAGATGCAGTATCATTGGCGGAGGATATGACATCATGGGCGGCTGCCAAGGCGGCGGAGGCGGTATCATTGGCGGTTGCTAAGGCGGAAGATATGGTATCATTAGCGGCTGCTAAGACGACGGAAGCGGTATCATTGGCAGCCACTAAGACAGCTGATGCGGTGCTGCTAGCCGCTACTGCGGCTGCAGTCTTGCCAGCCGCTGCAGCAGCGGTTCCACTGCCGTTGGCGGCTGCCTGTACCGTGTCGATCACGTTAGTCACTGCGACGGGCACTGCCGATGATGGAGATAAAGGCTCGTCGGGACCTTCGGCCATTCGTGAGAGGGCGTCCGTAGTGGCGATCACAGCTCCGACCACGCCGATACCGATCAGGAACATGTCGAAAATCTTCTCCCGTCGGGTGATCGAACTGCAACACAACGGAGTATGACGTGTGAAAACCCAGTGAAAACATTCTTTTGGAATGTATTATTGAACAAGATATCAGATACCGTTGCCCAAGTGCCTAATATCCGGACCATCACCGAGCGACCAAAGGAAACAAGACGAGTTAAGTAAGTGAAAAGTATCACACTGATCAGTGATCACTGATAATAAATGTTGAGATTTCGTGCACACATGACCGCGGCTGGGTATCTGTGGCGACATTGCTCTATCAAACGTCACGGATACAATCACTTAAAAATAAAATCACGATAAATCACCCAAATATGAGCTAAAACTCTTCCGAATTTCAATGATCACAACTACCAGCAACTCGCCCGGTCGAAAGGTTCAGTAAAGCTTTTCAACACTCATGAGGATAAAAGTCTACTCGTACCATCAAACTCCGAAGAGCCCACGCCAAACATCTTCTATGGGTTGAATGAAATAAACATTTGCTTTGATGACTAGCAGGGTTCAGGGATGGATCACAAAGCAGAAGCGATCCGGAAGGTGACTACCGAAGTGCGCTCGGGCCGTCGTAAACGATCGTATACCGTACCGTATTGTATATATCGTATACGATTGGGCCGTCGTATGCCGTCGACACGACACGCAGCGCGTGTCGTATCGCAAGCATATTGCGCTGTGCGCAGTGTGTGCACTTGCGTTCGTTGAGCACATGAGTGCACTGTGCATTGCCGCTGTCGCAGTACGTTGTTGTGTACTGTACAGTATCGCGTAGTGCGCGACACTGCACACGTGGTTCTCGGCACTGACCGTCGGCGCAGTCGCAGGTGGAACAGTCCGGGCAGAACGAAGGCCAGCAGCGTGCAGCAGGTGCCGCCGATGATGGCCATCAGGTTGGCGAAGTTGGGGATCATCACGACCACCAGGCCCGAGGTGGCCACCAGCAGCAGACGCAGAACGTTCTGCAGAGGCGGGGAGACTCCGTCAGACACACGCAAACGGGTCTGTACAGGCAGTAACAGCCTGAATCACCTGCTACGGGAATCTAGCGTCAAACGGACACGATCTCAAAGTAACTAACTCTGGCATGGGCATATCAAATTATTCACAAGCTTTATGACAAAACATATTTGGATTTCAAAAGACACATGACCACATTGCTTCTTTATAAAGACTTACTGATCAACCATGCTGATGAAGCATATCAACCCTCCACTGGCGATGATAATATAACCCTCCTTGCCATCCCCTGGCAAGGTTACTAACATACTCAGACCTTTGGATAAGGTCACTAGCATACTCACCCCTCTGGAAGTGGTCAGGTAGCTGGCCGGCAGACGTTTCTCAATGATCGTCACCACGGGAAACATCATCAGCGGGTAGGTGAAGAACAGCGAGAAGCACAGGCAGCACTTGACCACCATGGCGAAGTCGATGGTGCCATCGCTGGGCGGCAGGTTCAGCGTGATGATCTCCCGAGTCTCTGACGGTGCAGAGGCGTGTGGAATGTCAGCGTGCGGCAGGCGGCGCATTCACCAGCATTACAAGCAATAACGACCCAAATATACTGCAAGCTCAAAGAGAATTGGGAAACATGAAACATTAGACAAGATGATGCAAAACATCTAATAACGAAACGTGATGATGCTAAGAACGGTGACAAAAGATTTAATGATCCGACAAACCAATTAACCAAGAGGGCAGTAGCGTAACCAACAAGGTCCGCCTGTACGGCGGCAGCCAGGTAACGGGACACTGCCGATGCGTGAGAACAAGGCGAATGACGCAAACCTGCCCAAAATAGCGACATACGACACACGGCCTGTTCACAACACCGAACACCACAAAACTACCCCGGCGGCACTCACCGGGCCCGAACGATATGTATCCGGAGCAGCCGAACACGACGTACAGAGCCGTCACCCAGAACATGGTGCGGCCAAAGTACATCTTGAACTTGGGCCGCACGTGCTCAGCGAGTGAGTTCTCCAGCGACAGAATCATTCCGGCGCCCTGCACAGACAAAGGTGTCAGAGGGGCAATGGTGGATACGGGTGGAGAAACTACTGTCAATTCGATGGGCTGACGGCCTAAATGGAACGCAGAGATAGCAGCTGGGAGCACCCGACACTGACGATGGGTAAACTCAGACCGACTGTCGTTGAGTGGTGTCTGCTGGAAGGAAGTTTACGTAGTGGCAGATGTGTCCCTAAGCATGCCTGATTTCGTATGTTTGGCGACATGAGTCAAACGTAAGCACGGTCGCACAAACGCTCAGCCAAACACGCATAATTAATTCTCACCTCATAGCAGTAGATGGCGATGGCAAAGAAGAACGGAAATCCTCGGGAGGAGAACTCCCGCGGGTGAAACCGCTCCATGACGTAGTAGTGCTCAAAGTCGAACCAGAACACCACGGCGAACGCCATGATGGTGGAAATCTGCGCAAAGATGCTGGGAAGACGGCAGGGGACGGGGAACGGGCGCCCGCGTTAGCCCAAATCGGCAAACCGGCGTTACAAGGACAATAGCCTCGTCAACAGTTTACATTAAAAAGGAGGTGTGATAAAAATCAACGAAGCAGGAAAACAGCCCGTGGCCTGCTCAAGTCCGCAAGGTAAGCTACCAAAACAGATGGAAGTGTGATCCTAACGGGTCTGGCACGGCCCTTTCGTTAAGTGTCGGCTAGTTTGATATAAAATGTAGGCTGTCGACTACGGCTGAACATATTGCTTCTTTCTGGTATCGCATGGTCTGGTACCGAGTCTGGATGCCTTATCCACTGGGCTACATGGAAAATGAATGTCGTTTATCGTTGTGTACATATCGGTATCTTTACGCACCTACGTCATGTTTGCCGTTTCTAGCCAGCCGCGTGCCAACGATGCGAGAAAACTTTGAAACCATCTCTCCTCAACACAACATTCGTTACCTATCATTTCTGTCAGGTAAGTATTAATACGATTAGTTAAAGCAATGCCTATTTATTTCTACCTGTAGTCTCGACAGTCCCTCATTTCATTGGCTGAACAGCATGTCAAAACGAACAAGCTTTGACCGAGGATGGGTACCATCGAAACGGGATGGGCCCTCGAGATTTTTATACGATATTATAAGACATCTGTTTCAGCGACAACGGTCGCTAAAAGAGACAGTAATCATGGGTGTAAGAGCATAGCGCATTTCGTCACATGTCATGACCGTCCAATTTACGTGGGCCACGTCTCGTGTGCTCACCTGAAGACGGCCAGTTTCTCCAGTTTCCTGAGCAGGCAGAGCATGTAGAGGAGCGGCAGGAACAGGACCAGCCACTGACTGGTGCTCACGCCACTCACGTACGTCGACAGGTTCTCCGATATAAATATGAGGTAGGCGCAGCAAAACCCTGAAACGATACGTGTCAGAGAAAATATTACAAAGGATGCTAACTACAAATAACAGGGAAATCAATTGCCATTTACACCGGCTGAGAATAAGGGAGAGTGCTGAATGCCATCCAGACTTACCGATCTGAGACACTATGACAGTGCCATCCACCAGCCAGCGACCCTTCTCCGCGTATGCGTAAAACCCTGCCGGCAAAACGCAGCAGTGTTTGTTTGTGGGCGATTCGGGGAGCATCGACAGCAGGGTCATTATGCGCCCATAGCACAGCTTTGTGTAGCTTACATTGTAACAAAACGAACTGAGGAGAAAATTTCAACTGGTGAGCATTATCATTTGAGCGAGATTCAATCGTATAGGGGCTGTAAAGTCATATTGAAACCCAGGTATATTAATGATAATAAATCGTTTAGCGGACTGAATCTGGGTGTAAAGAAGCTATTTTTCCCTAATAGCTTCTTTACACCCAGAGTCAGTCCGCTAAACGATTTATCATTAATCGTATAGATTTTGGCTGTTCGACACATTCGTAGTGATTTCGCTCGTCCAAACATGGTCCATTAAAAGAGCCAGCTAGAAAGGTTGGGTCACTGGCCCAACGAGCATTTCTTCCCCCCCCAAAAAAAAACGGAACTATCGATCATGACTTCTTAAACAAAGCATCTGACCTTTCCACTATCCACTGCTTTCGCACTTAGCGTCACGCGAACGTCATAACCTCCACCGATATCCGCCATAAACAATCCGGAGGCATTGGGAGCCCACCATCGCTCCGCTGGCCATAAACCGGCAGCCATTGTCCCGTATCGGCCGACAGCGTTATCTTTCCGACCCTGCCGCGGTGCGCCTTCTTACCGAGGTCACCGTACGTAATCTCGTGGCTGGTGTCCACCAGGATCTTGTCGTCCTCGTCGTCACCGCCGGCGTCTCCGTTGAGCAGCGGCAGTTTCAGCTCGACAGAGCCGTCGCTCAGAGGCACCTGTGGCACACACATTGCATGACAACAGGCACGGACTCGGGGACGAATGCAACCGTAGACGGACACACTTTTGAGATAAAGAGGAAATTCGAAAACGTTCTCGAAAACGTACTGATTTGGATATGCATCGTAGGGGAAGGTAGTAATGCAAAGTGTCTGTGGTCTCACATTTCGTTTGTTATAAGGCCGTGTGGACTCAAAAAATCATTTTATACAGTGCAGATCCCGTAGCTCAGCCGGTAGATCGTAAAACTCCGAGTGAAGTGAGCACAAGTCCCGGTTACAAAAGTCCGGGGCTCGAGGCGCGACGGGTGCTTGACGTTTATGAGGCTCCTGAGAGAGAACTTCACCATTTATTCAAATCGACATCTGCGAGGCTACCCATCTGACCGTAGCCGGCTCATAGTGAGAGCCGATAGTAATAGAGCCGGTAACTTACCGATCACAGCTCGATCACCTCATTCGCGTTCGGGCGAGTTTGTAAAAGGATAAGACGAAGGGCCTCCAGCGGTGTGTTGACGGAAAGGACGGCAAGGACCTGAACTGAAAGGATAAACATCGGGCCTTATAACAGAATCTACTGCACCATTCATAAAACAAAACGCATTACGACACGCGCCTCACATATAAAAAAGCAAAGGGTAAAAGGGACAGCAAATTATACAGCATACATGCAATAGCACAATCGCTTACGAGCTCACCGGCTCAATAGAGGCATAAAATAATATTACAATGTCCATCTGAAGAACCAGTGTGTGTAAAGAGTGAAAGTAGGTATCATTGAAATAGCTTGGGTGAGGAAACAACAAGACCTGACCCCTTCAAGCCCTTCGATTGTACAGTCGTGTACAGGTTGATGGTCCCCTACTCTTTATCCACCGGGTTCCTATGGCTCAGCATTGGCAGCAGCCGCCTGGTACCGGTAGGCTGTGCCGCATGACCCGAAAGCTATGCGGCACAGTCTACCCACGCCGTTTGACATCGGCTCGGGTCGCCGGGTGGAGCACTTTGTAGACCAGCTGTTGCGTCAGACCAGCGCGGGGGAGGGGCTCGTCTCAGTGGTTGGCGTGGGCTGGCGAGTGGTGTTGGGGCGTGTTGGTGGACCATGGGGGCTGGTCGGGTGTGTGTGGTCACTTCTTGCATTGCACATTTTGCGTCGCTTAACAATTGCATTCCTGTTTTTGATAAGCACAATGCACGGAAGACCCAGCGAATATAATTTACTTTACTTGTGCATTGTGCAAAACGTGATTTGGCACGGTATCGATTCAACCATAGGTCTTGTGCCTATGCATGATATTTAGGCAATACGTTTATGAAAACGGTAGATTGATGCTGGATGTCAATTAGTATGCTAAATGTCGACACGTATTAAATGAGTGAATGAATGAATCAATCAATCAAACAATCAATCGACATGTATAAAACCGTATAAATGGCTCGCAACCACTAATAGCAATCAAACCATCCTAACTCGGAAAAGCAGCCGGAGCCCTGATGAGGCTTGAACCGGGACTCCACGCTGTGAATTTTGCCAATGATCCATCATCATTCCACCAAGCTAGAGTGACCGGCACCCGAACCCACAAAAACATTAATTGACTTTGCCGCCGACCTCCCGGCCCCGCCGCCCGCCCGGCCAGACTTTGCCCCGGCAATAGCCACCATCCGGTGTAGCTCAGCGTAGGAGTGCTCGACTGTCAAACTGACCGGTAGTGAGGGGCCCGGTTCGAAACGCTTCGGATGCTGGATGTTTAATTCTCGTTGGGAGGCTTTGCGTTTAGTTCACTTTTCAGAAAGATCATTTGGTGACTGACCTGTTTTCTTTCTTTGCTGCAATTCATGAGGAGACCGTATGCACCCTTACCTGTCCTTCCGCACCCCACTTGGGAGATGGGTGGTTGCCCCCCCCCCCCCCATGGGTTTTGTGAATATCTCTAAAACGAATTTTTGGAAGGGGGATACGATCGGTTCCATGCGACAAGTGACCACACACGCCCAGCCCCAGGTCCGCTCACTCCCTCCCCACATCACCTCCTCCCCACACCACACTCCAGCCCGCCTCATCCACCGAGCCGAGCCATGACGAGCCTCAGCGCCCCGGGGCGCGACCTGTCAGCGAACCGGCGGGGACGCGGGCCGGCGGTTGCGTGCGCCGCGGGGGCAGGGGCGCGTCCAGGCGTCGGGGACATCGAGGCGGCGCGAGCTGGCGCCGCCACGGCGACACTGGAACAGACCTGATAATTGGACACCTCAACATTCAGTCGTTGAAGCCCAAACTGCCGGATCTGCGAGACGACATTCATAGAGATCACGGATTTGATATATTGTTACTGTTATTATATAACAGTGTTCGCTGACAGGTCGCGCCCCGGGGCGCTGAGGCTCGTTATGGCTCGGCTCAGTGGATGAGGCGGGGTGGAGTGTGGTGTGGGGAGAGGGGTGATATGGGTAAGGAGTGAGCGGACCTGGGGCTGGGCGTGTGTGGTCACTTGTCGCATAGAACCGATCGTATCCCCCCTCCAAAAATTCGTTTTAGAGATATTCACAAAACCCATGGGGGGGGGGGGCAACCACCCATCTCCCAAGTGGGGTGCGGAAGGACAGGTAAGGGTGCATACGGTCTCCTCATGAATTGCAGCAAAGAAAGAAAACAGGTCAGTCACCAAATGATCTTTCTGAAAAGTGAACTAAACGCAAAGCCTCCCAACGAGAATTAAACATCCAGCATCCGAAGCGTTTCGAACCGGGCCCCTCACTACCGGTCAGTTTGACAGTCGAGCACTCCTACGCTGAGCTACACCGGATGGTGGCTATGGCCGGGGCAAAGTCTGGCCGGGCGGGCGGCGGGGCCGGGAGGTCGGCGGCAAAGTCAATTAATGTTTTTGTGGGTTCGGGTGCCGGTCACTCTAGCTTGGTGGAATGATAATGGATCATTGGCAAAATTTACAGCGTGGAGTCCCGGTTCAAGCCTCATCAGGGCTCCGTCTGCTTTTCCGAGTTAGGATGGTTTGATTGCTATTAGTGGTTGCGAGCCATTTATACGGCTTTATACATGTCGATTGATTGTTTGATTGATTGATTGATTCATTCATTCATTTAATACGTGCCGACATTTAGCATACGAATTGACATCCAGTATCAATCTACCGTTTTCATAAACGTATTGCCTAAATAGCATGCATAGGCACAAGACCTATGGTTGCCTCGATACCGTGCCAAATCACGTATTGCACAATGCACAAGTAAGGTAAATCATATTCGCTGGGTCTTCCGTGCATTGTGCTTATCAAAAACAGGAATGCAATTGTTAAGCGACGCAAAATGTGCAATGCAGGTCCAGGAAGTGACCACACACACCCGACCAGCCCCCATGGTCCACCAACACGCCCCACACCACTCGCCAGCCCACGCCAACCACTGAGACGAGCCCCTCCCCTCCCCCCGCGCTGGTCTGACGCAACAGCTGGTCTACAAAGCGCTCCACCCGGCGACCCGAGCCGATGTCAAACGGCGTGGGTAGACTGTGCCGCATAACTTTCGGGTCATGCGGCACAGCCTACCGGTACCAGGCGGCTGCTGCCAATGCTGAGCCATAGGAACCCGGTGGATAAAGAGTAGGGGACCATCAACCTGTACACGACTGTACCACGCTTTGAGAATCACTTACGTTGCTCTTCACGTAAGTATTGACGGATACGTTCCCACTTCGACGTTTGCTCAGCAGCAAATATTTGCAGTCAATCAAGAGAAACATTGCTCGAATGGAAACGTAACCGACGGTCACCATTATCAATATTCCTTCTGCTAGGCCGGCCTGAAAAGAAAAATAATGCAATCAGTTTTCTATGACAAATTGACGATTACATATGTATTCAATGTTTGACATTTCAATCAATGCATCAGCATAAGGCATTCGTGAACAAATACACTGGCAACGTCGGACAACAATGTGTAATTAGACTACATACCTCTTTGTATGCGAACGGCAGACCAAGCACGCCTGCTCCGATGAAGGAGATGAAGATGTTGGCCACGATCTTCACCGGGTGCGTGGCCCCGGAACCGGCCACGCCGGCCGTCATCTGCGGCAGAACGACACAAGCTTCAACATCAGACGTCAACAGCGCCGGCGCGTCATCCTAGTGGCGCGGGTGGGTAACGCGTCCACGTTCGGTGTGCGAGGTCCTGGGATCAAAGCTGAGCTCTGGCATCCCTATCCAGCCTTTCCACTGTCCACTCAATTGTTGATGGAAAAGTCACCAACAAATTCAGGATGAGATAGATGGAATAATATGCAGCATGACTAAAATTGTGACCAGAGACGTTTTTACATGATCGTGACCTGAGGTCAGCAGGTAAGTTCACATGCCTCAAAACTAGGGCTGCAGAGTTAAAGTCAGAGTCGGAGTAGGCCGGAGCGGAATGGAAAGTTCTGGCTGATGATAGAGTTGGAGAAGATATTGCACGGCATAGGCCTTCCATGCAATATAGGCCAGTCATGGTTTACGTCCGTTTACTGGCCAGTCATGGTTTACGTCCGTTTACTGAATAATATTACGTTTGTTGACCTTTCAAAAACATATTTTGTCGAGGCTACGATCATACTCCCCTCTTGGACGTGAAAATCCGAAGACTACGGCATCCCCAAAACCTTCTTTTAGTTCACTTTTTTAGACAGACAGACAGTATATCTGCAATACAAGGCCTTAAAATGCAAAGGGACTCTGTTGCTTAGAGCCAGACTGCAAAGCATGACAAGCCAGCAGGATCAGAGTCGACAGGTCACACCAGCCAGTCTGCAGCGGCCCACACCAACCAAACTGTAAATCCGCGCCATTCTACATCAAACGAAGCCTATGAATTTAGTAGTCAGGTATAAAATCGAGAAACCCTGATCTCTGATGAGAAAAACTGCAAGTAATCCACGCCGGCCAGGGGTTGTTTGAACACCCCTCATGTCTTCCGCAAATATAAAAAACGTCATCGCAAAGCCCACGTTTTGCATATGTTGTGAGAATTTCAAAAACAGATCACCCAAGGTCAAGTCACCAGGTCACATCAATTAACCTTACCCGAGAAACAATTTCAAATGCTCAGCATAACTATACCAACTGAACGATAACTTTAACTTGCGCCCCGTAAGAAAGAGACGAAACGGCCCCCTGTCCTATTCCGTGGATATCTCCTAAACTACTGCAGATATCGCCACCAAACTTTCAGGACCCCTCAGGGGAACAAATTTTACATGTCATGTTAAACAGTTTCCCTTAAGGCTGTGAAGGGTTGGCCAAAATAATCCTGTTCTGCCATTTTCGACCCCAAAACAGGTTTCGCAGAAAGAGCTGTCACGCCTACAGCTTTAAAAATACAGAAAAATGTTTGCCTTAGGCGTAGAATTACCAGGGCTATAAAACTCCTATCTCGGATTCTTGAAAACTTTGGATTTTGACCCCCAAAAATAAAAAAGCAGTTATTTGATATAATACCTCAAAATCCCAAAAATTCTCAATATTTGAAAAAAACTGTGTCACAAGGCGGGTCTATCGAAGGCCATTTGAATTGTGAAAATCGATGGGTAAGTTTCCGAGATTTTAGTGGGGGGGACCCCCCTTTTCCACCGATACCCCTAATGAGTACGGGGCGCGGGTTAACCCTCGCACTTGTAGGGTGGGGGTCGAACGGACCCCCTCGGTTTTTCGCGAATAGCTCGAGCAAAAAGCGGCCGATCGCGACGAAACTTTAAGTACCCTCGAGTTAATCACTTTTACACCCACCCCGAAATTCTTTTGACCCTGACTCCAATGACCTTTGACCTGTGACCTATTTCTCAAAACCATGTTTGGCCGGAATCGTGATTCGGCGTATGTCGGCTCACATTAACTGCGCGTTTGCAGTCTTTTTGTAGTTTTAAACGTCCAAAGATGTGAAATGCTGTAATTGGTCCCATGCACTATGGTGGATGTCAAGGTCATGTGGTCAGGTCAGGCTACTGACCTATGATGCCCTTGGTTCACTTTTTCGAGTTTTACATGTTTCTAGGCTAGTTTTTTGGAGCTGTTTTCGAATTTAGCAACCATTTGAACATTAACGAAGAAGTTATGGTGCCTTCCTAACATACCACGAATCTGTCAGTGGTGTTTAACGCCTACTATGAATACCCGACAGGACGCCTTCTGGTTGAACTGACCTAACCCGACCCGATGGCCTAACTGCATTAAAATATCACCTGTGATAAAACTCAATGATCCGACCTGGCCCAAAGGCATGACAATATTATCTGTGATCAAAACTAACAGGAAATCCGTGCTCAGCGCCCCCAAAACCCAAAAACCACCTTATTTTACGAAGTTCTGACAGGTCCCGATTTTCCCGACTTTTGGGTAATTGACCTGACCTGAAAAGTCAACCAATGAGCTAGGGCTTTAAAATTGGGTATCATCGGCATCAGCTTCCTCTCGTAACGGGCAGCACGCTCGTTTTTTCCCGCAAAGCTCTAGCTCAATAAGGGGCCAAACAGGAAAATACGTTCGCGGCTGGCAACAAAGCGATACATGCGAGGGTTAAAACTCTAAGCAATTGGTAAGAGCAGCAGTATGCGTAACACATTGACCCTCGCCGGTACAGGCCATTTTGCGTCCTTCGACGGCACAAGGAGGGGGGGGGGGGGGGGGGGGGGTACGACCCCTCCTCGCGTTTGGCCCCTGATCGAGCTAGAGCTTCGCAGAAAAAAAAGAGCGTGTTGCCCGTCACGCGAGGAAGCCGATGATACCCAATTAAGGTCCCAGGTCATCGGTCGACCTTCCAGGTCAGGTCAATGACCCAAAAGTCGGGAAAATCGGGACCTGTTAGAAAGTCGCAAGATGTGGCTGCTATGGGGTTTTTCGGGGTGCTGATCACGAATATCGTGTTAGTTTTTATCACCGAACATGTCTTTAAGCATTAAGACCAGGTCGGGTCAGGTCAGGTCAGGTCAACCAGAAGGGGTCGTGACGGGTATTCGTAGTACGTGTCAACCGCCTCTGACAGATTCGAATTCAGCACCAAAAACTAGTCTAGAAACATGTAAAACTCGAAAAAGTGAACCGAGGTCACCAAAGGTCAATGACCTGAACTGACCTCCAGGTGACCTTGAAATCCCCCCTAATGCATGGGAGCAACATCAAATCACATGTTTGAACGTTTGAAACCACGAAAAGCTTGCAAACGCGCGGCCAATGCGAGCCGACATACGCCGAATCACGATTTCGGCCAAATATTGTCTCTGAAAGTAGGTAAGTCACAGGTCAAAGGTCATTTGGGTCAGGGTCATGACATTTTAAGGGTAGGTGTAGAATTGATCAATGCCAAAATACTGAAGATTTCGTCGCGATCGGCTGCTTTTTACGCGAGTTAGGTATTCGCGAAAAACCTTATGGTGCATCAACTCTCTTGCCGGCGAGGGTTAATCTCTGAATTTTAATATGAGTGACCTAGTGCCCCTGAGGTCATCTCAGCCCATTAAAGGTATCCAGTAGTCTTTGACAACAACTGTTGAAGAGACATGCTAGAGCAATGCACACTTCAAAGTTGTTCAGCTCAATGATATGGATCAACTGATAGGTTGATCCATATCATTTCCAGTCAGGTCATGACCCTTTCCACCCTTTCCTGTCAGGTCATGACCTTGACTTCAGGCCAAATTTTTAATATAATTTTTAAAGGTAAAATCATAATTCATTTGATGCATGTATTGACTAGAGGAACAAGCTGGTAAAACAATTGTCTAGCAAGTTTTGAGTCTAAAGTTATTCCATAAATACTCTCTACAAAACATCGACTTTGATAGTTTTTGTCATGGCTGTATCGATATCTTGCAGAGAAGTTAGATTAGCCAAGTTTTCTTGTATTGCGTTGCGTAGCGGCCACACCCAAACAGCATCGAAACAAGCTCGGCCCAAAAATCGAGGGGCGTATACGAGGGGCGTATCTCTACTAAACTGCTGCAACTCAGCTACTCGCGGTACACCTCCCCCCTTTCAATAGACGCGCAGGTCAGGCGGGAGCGCACAATGAAATATACAAGCTTGCTAAGCGTAATGCAAATTAAGCGGGAACAATAAATGTCAGGTTCCAAAACTTTTACGTGTCGCACCACTTTAGTAATACTGATAGTCCGCACGTTTTGTGGGCTTCACACGACGACCACTGCGCGTGAATCGCGGAAGCTCGCCCGGTGCTGCTGTTGCTCCTGCTGGAGCTGCTGCTGGTGGTGGTGCTATACCCATTCTCTGGGCAGGTTGAGCAGGCGGTGGCGGCGGTTCGGCTGCTGGCAGCAGTTCTTCGGGTTCCTCGGGTGCTTGTGACGATGCCGGAGGCGATTGCGGCGAGGACGAAGGTGCACTTTGCGGTGATGCACTCAGCGGTGAGCTCCGAGACGGTTGTGGAGAAGCGATGTCCCAGGATGCTGGTCGGGTAACTGGCGGAAGAGCAGCATCTGGACTCGGGCGAGAATCGGGTGGAATCGGAAGGATGAAACGTCGGTTACGGACGACAGGCGTTGGCGTGGTAGCTGACGGAATGATGAATGAGTTTGGCTGCGCAGCTGGTCCGATGACGCACACTGGTCCGTTCCAGTGTTTCTCGCCGTCATGACGCACACGAACGTCATCACCCACTGATGGAGGGTCGAGGAGCGCTGCGCCATGCCTCTTGTCATATCCCTCCTTTTGACGAAGCTTTTGCAGATCATGATGATGCTGAAGTTCGATGAAGTCAGGCCATTGCGGCTTCATGTGCACCGGATGAATTGGTAGTCGGGTTCTCAGATTGCGTCCCATGAGCAGGCGTGCTGGACTGTGTCCAGTGACTTCCAGTGGAGTATTCCGGTAGGCCAAAAGCGCCAGCGTCGGATCCGGTTGCTGAATGATACGTTTGGCTGTCTGAACAGCACGCTCGACAGCTCCATTGCTTCTCGGGTTGTGAGGGCTACTCATGATGTGCTTGACGCCGTACGTTTTGGAGAAGTCGGCGAAGGCTTGAGAAGAGAATTGCGGTCCACCGTCGGAACGAAGAATCTCTGGGATTCCGAAGCGTCCGAAGAGACCCCTGAGTCGGTCGATCGTGCTTGCGCTGGTGGTTGACGTCATGTGAAGAATTTCCAGCCAGCGACTGAAGTAATCAACGACGATGAGGAAGGTCCGGCCCTCATAGGTAGCGAAGTCTACCCCCACTGTATTCCACGGGCCATCGGCGAGCTCGGTGGGCTGGAGTGGCTCTGCATGCTGCCGCCGTCTGTGTGCTTGACAGAACCCACAGCGGTCGATCCATGCTTTCAGTTGGCCGTTGATACCAGGCCACCAGACTGACTCGGCGATCCTTTGTCGGCACTTGACCAGACTCAGATGTCCGTCGTCGTGAATCTTTCGTAGCATTTCACGTTGCATGTCTTCAGGGATGACAATTCGGCTCCCGTACATCAGTAGAGGTTTGCTGGTTTGATCGTAGGACACGCTGAAGTATCCACGAGCTGAATAGAATTCCAGCAGGTCAGGATGGACAGGAGATGACCATCCGATTTCAGTGAAGTTGATGACCTGACGGATCTTTCGATCTTGATGTTGTTGCTGCGCGATGTCTTCAAGCTTGCCGTGGCTTGCGGGCAAGGCTGACATGATGGCGTTGACATGGGCTTCGATTTCCGCCACGTCCTCGTCGGACGAGTGTTGTTCACTGACGGGTTTGCGTGAGAGGAGATCAACAATGAGCAGCTGCTTGCCTGGCGTGTAGACAGCTTCTCCAGCGTAGGCTGCCAGTCTCATCAGTAGACGTTGACAGCGGAGTGGCGTATCAGCGATGTCTCTGGCGTTGATGAGCGGCACTAGCGGCTTGTGATCTGTAAGCAGTGAGAATCGTTGAAGACCGTACAGATATCCGTGGAACTTTTCGCACGCCCACGCTCCTGCCAGGCACTCTTTCTCGATCTGTGCGTATTTGCTTTCGGCACTGGTCAGTCGGCGTGAACAGAAGGCAACTGGTCGTAGCTCACCATCTTTCTTTTGCATGAGGCAGCCTCCAATGCCATAGGAGCTTGCATCTGCAGACACCACAGTCTCCAACTTCGGGTCGAAATACGCCAGGACTCCTGCTTCGGCTATCTTCTTTTTGATGTCTTCGAAAGCTTTTTGCTGAGGGTGATCCCAGATCCACTCGGCGTCCTTTTTCAGGAGGTCATGCATAGGTCCCATGATGCTTTGAGCGTTGGGTACGAAGCGCGTCAGGAAGTTGATGGCACCCAGCATCGATCTCAATTCCTGAACGTTTTCTGGCGGTGGCATGTCTTGCACAGCTCTGAGCTTCTCTTTGTCGGGTTGGACACCAGCTGCGGATAGGCGGTGACCCAGGAACGCCACACTTCTTCGGCGAAATTCGCATTTCGATTCGTTGAGCTTGATGCCAGTCTCTTTGATGCGCTGCAGGACTGCAGAGAGGCGCTTGTCATGCTCTTTGCCTTTGCCGTGCACGATGGTGTCGTCCTGGAAGAATACGACTCCCGGTAGGTCGTCCAACATCTCTGCCATCTTGCGTTGGTACACTTCCCGAGCCAGGGTGATTCCCATCGGTAGGCGGTTGAAGCGGTACCGTCCGAACGGCGTCAGGAACGTCGTGAGGTGCTTTGACTTCTCTGCCAGCGGGAGATGAAAGAAACCACTGGTGGCATCCAGCTTGCTGAAGGTGTCAGATCCTCGAACGGCATTGCTCAGCTCCACGAAGGTTGGCAGCTCGTAGCGTTCTCTCTTCACAGAGGCATTCAGCTTTTTGAAGTCAACAGTCAGTCTGACTTTGCCATTTGGTTTCGGCACAGGTACGATCGGCGCACACCAGTCGCTGGGTTCGCTGACCTTTTCGATGACACCGGTGCTTTCCAGGCGCGCAAGCTCTTCTTTGACGGGTTGCTGCAGCGGTAGTGACACTCTGCGTGCTGTCACCACGGCGTAGGGCACAGCTCCGTCTTTCAACGTGATGCTGACCGGCGTTGTTTTCCACAGTCCAACTTCTTTGGCAAACAGCTCACTAGGAATGTTCACTTCATTGAGAAGCTTTACCAGTCCTAGCTTCAGTGAGTCTTCTCTGCCTAGCAGCGGGCGGACGAGGCTGTGTGTAGCATACAGCACGACGTCTGCGACTTTCTCATTTGGAGACTTCAGTTTCGTGACAACTTTGCCTAGCACGTCCACTTGGCCACCGGGACTGTTCAACTTCATGTTCGCTTTTTGCATTCTGTGAGCCAGATTCAGCTTTTTGAGCGTGTCATAGCTGACGACAGAGACGTCTGCTCCAGTGTCTATTTTCATCAGGAGTTCTTCTTCCGCTTTGCCTATCTTCAGCATGACCATCCCCGAGTTCTGTTCATGTTCCACTGCACTGACCTCTGCTTTGTCCATCTCTTTCTTCATTTCTGTGCAGCTAGTCATTTCTTCAATGAGCCCCAAATATGCATCAGACTCAGCATGTCCAGCTTCTGCTTCTCCAGCTTGAACTTCTGCCACTTGATGAGGTACTGCGCTTCGGCAGACTTCTGGGAGGTGACATCACTCTTGTTGCATCTTGCACATGTTTTTCCGTACGCAGGACAGTTGTTTCTGCCGAGACGATGACTCCTGCCACAGAAGTTGCACATTCTGCCACTGGTTTCCCAGTGGGGAGCTTGGTACCGGTTTCTGTTGCCTGCGTCGTGTGCTCCCTGCACGTTCCTAGTCATTGGCTGGTTTGTCTGAAGATTTGGACGAGTGCCAACACCTTGCTGTCTTTGGTTTCTGCTTTCTTGGTTGTTTCTCCTGTTATCTGGATGGTAGTTCCTTTTGTTGCTTTGCAGATTGGGCTTTGACCATTGCACAGCATCAGCTTGCTTTGTTTCTTCTGATTTCTCTTTCACAGCCTTTTTCACTGCTTCATATTTCTTTGCGTAGTTGATCAGGTGATCCAGCTCCTGGTCTGTTTCAAGGGCAAGTCGTTCGATTAGACCAGTGTCCTTGACCCCCACAAGGAATCTGTCCCTGATCTGGTCGCGTTTCTGCTGAAACCCGCAGCTCTGGGCCATTGAGTACAGCGCTCGGACATATTCATCGATTGTCTCGCCTTCATGCTGGTTTCGTTGATGAAACTGTGACCTTTTCACTGAACTGTTGGATTTTGGCAGAAAGTATGCAGTGAATTTGTCCATCACTACTTCGAAGTTGGCCCTTTCAGCTTCAGTTAGTCCAAACGAATCGAGAATTTCACCACTGTCTGGCATTCCCATGAGATACAGAAGTGAGGTAACCTGATATTCCTGAGATTCTCTATCCAATCGATGTAGAGTTCTAAACATTTTGTAGCTTTCCTTCCATTTTGGCTAATCCTCTGGTGCTCTACAATCAAATTTCTCAGGTGGTGGATAGAGAGGCATTATCACATGGAAAGTATTTCAATTCTTTTTTTTTGCTTACCTCTTGCTTTTGAGATTGCTTTCGTCTTGAATTGCTTTTAAAATAACCTTCAATATTGGCTTGAATTGCTTTGATGCTCTGCGTCACTTTCGTCACAAAAATATCCAATCGTTTTGCTGCGTAGTTTCACTGTGAATACCCTTGGCACTTCTCTAGCTTATCGACAATGAATTTGCTGATCATTTCTCTGTGTTTTCCTCACCCAGGGCACCATGTATCGATATCTTGCAGAGAAGTTAGATTAGCCAAGTTTTCTTGTATTGCGTTGCGTAGCGGCCACACCCAAACTGCATCGAAACAAGCTCGGCCCAAAAATCGAGGGGCGTATACGAGGGGCGTATCCCTACTAAACTGCTGCAACTCAGCTACTCGCGGTACAATGGCCTCTGGAAGCTAAACACCTAATCAAGTCTAAGAGCACTTCACAGAAAGAGCTTTACAAGAGCTTTACAGTTTACACTACCTATCAAATCAAGTATCAAATGCACTTTTTTGTTGCACTGTAGCACTATTCCTTAGTTCACAATACCTCAATGTTGACTGGACTATTGGAGACCAGAGGCCTTAATTAGGACCCAATGTTGTTGAGCTCATGCAGTACCTTTTGCGTGTTGCAAATGTTTTCTCAGACAATGCTGTATCAGCACAGCTGTTGAAAACAATGCAAATTTACTACTTACAGCCCACACTGCTTAGTGCTTCTCGCACACACAAAGCCCACAGTTAATGTGTTCTGCAGTATCTGCACCATACACCGACAAATGACAATAGTGGAGTGCCCACTTCCCAGCCTCCACACCAAAGAAATGTCATTGAAATCATCATGCTTCACACTTTAGTCATAGTCTGGTTTGTTGCCATGCTTTGCAGTCTGTCGTGGCACAAGCAAAGGAAACAAATGTGAGAACTGAGAAGAGAATCAGAATTGGAATAGAGAGTAAAGAGACAACTAACCTTTATTCTTTACTCAGATATTCTTATAAATGCATTAAAATACTGTTCAGTTTACTAGAGACAAGCGCAGCTCCGGAGACGTCCACTTCAACTAAGCACCAAGCCGGGGGCGTCGAAGTCTAGTAGGAAAATCTGGCAATCCCCGGCGTGACGTAACGTCGGGGATGACCGACGGCACCTTGCACTGAAAGATACGGCAGAACGGCTATTTTTGAAAAATGATTAAAAATACTTGGGTGCTGTTATGACACATTAAACGCTTATCAGCATGTTCCTCATGATGTGATAAAGCCATATCCGTGGTCGAAAATAGCCGAGTCCCTCCCAATTTCCAAACATCGACCTTATAAGCAAAGGATGTAAGCGTAATACTTAAGGGCGACTTTCCCTTACATATCCGTACATATGCGGCCTTAAGGAAATCGGTAGTGTGGCGATAAGCGACGCGTGCGACATCTGTGGGGCGACTGTGGCGACACCTGGTGGCTGCTTTTCTGCTGTATGTAGGTATTGGGGTTTTGCCAGATATGGTTCCTACTGCTACACCACTATGTTGACCCAATACTAGAAAGTTATTTTGCCAGTAAATGGCAAGAAAATTAAAAGTATATTTATAAAATTGCTTATAAATGATTACGAGATAATAATGAAGAAGTTTTGATTGATTAATTATTTAAATATTCAACCGTGAAACTATATTCTGGTAGGTTTAGTAGAAATTAGTCCGTGCAACCTTGTATTTAGGGCCTTGCACCAAGCTAAGCACAGAAATATAAAAAGATATACCACAACAGGGGTACGAGCGGCACGAGTTGGCTAGAAGGCGCACGGCGCGGGTGAGACGATTACGAAGGGATGGTAGCTGGTGCTGAGCACGTGATCACTTCGGAACATATGACGTCAGCTTGTTTCCTTTCTTCCTTCTTTCTAAAACAGACCAAAGAGAAAACAACTACAAACGCACCACTATTTCATGTCGTAGTTCTCTTATCAGAAAAATACGTTTTTTTCAAAAATGACAAAACTTTTCGAAAGCAAAAAATGTTTTCTGCCAGCTTGGCGACACTTCGAAAGATGTCACGTGACTAATGACCACAGACGGTAAAAAGTCACGGGCTCTGTTCGGTCACTGTTTTTTATCAGCGGGCTGCCAGCCTACTGGCGTTTCTCGGGTTTTCATTGGTCAAATTCACGTTTTCTGTGCAGTACACCAATGAGATGCCAAGGAACACCACAACCAAGGCCACCAGAACAGAACTTCCATATGATACGACTATAATAGGTTTTTTTATTTACCCTCTCTTTCTTGCTCTCTTTGCCCTCTCTACACCTAGCGGGGGCTATCGCGTGTCGAGGGCAATTCGGGTGAAATTCGAAAAGCATTTCGAAGCTAACAAAAAGTAATCCCAATCCAGGATTACCGGTTGGTAATTAATGTGCTCACCTGTCCTGTTCATTTGGATGGCGAATTGGGATTTTATTTTATTTTCACACCGTTCAAGATTCCTAGAGATAGGTTCATGGCATCTTGAAAATAGAGATTCAAGATTCTTTGAGGTTTAATTTATGCTGGTTCCATTGTATTGTTAAAAGCGAATGTAACATATTTTCATTTTTCAGGTGTCTGATCTCTTTTGAAAGTGTTCGCGGGTAGAAGATGACAAACAATGGTGTTCGGAAGCGGAGGGTGAGTACCTATCTTCTTTTCATATTATTGGCCACTTCAGCTTCATGTTCTTCAAAGGCATAAACCCAGACTATAAAATCCATATTATCATCAACGGATGCGCCATAACAGGCAGATTGCGCCAAAATTTTGATGCAGCATCCAGCATAACCTAGACTACAAAACTTGGGAGGTTTTGACAAGGTCTCGGGTGTGCATGGGGCCTCTGCTAGTCTTACTCAGGTGTGCATTCCAAAGCTCAGGTGTGCAAGGCATGGCCCAGACATGTGGGTGTGCTATCATAGTGTACTTGCCTGGAGAGCTGTCACTTCACTTGAAGCTTGCTAATGAAGCAAACAAAATGGACATCTATGCAACTGTCATACACTTGTGAGAGCACTCAGCGGGCTGTTCATTGGGATTAAATGTGTGAGTGTGACAGCTTACTAGTGCAGTCATTGCCATAAATTTCAGCATTTTTACGCTGGCATATACAGGAGACGGGCGGTTTGTTTTTCACACTAGTTTTGTTTGAAAATGTATGTGTGCATTTGGGGTAGGTTGGTGACTGGGTCCATTCAGCTCAGCCAGCACTTTCCCACCAGTTGTTCTTAGCCAGTAGGTAGTTACCACCAATGATGCCTCTGTCACATGTTGTGTAGTCTCTAAAAGTGGTTCCAAAGTCCTCTAATGAATGCTTTGATTATCAAACTGATACTTTGCTATCAGCTTCAAAAACTACTCATAGAAGCATTAATAATAAAACAGCTCGCACGTGGTCCTCTCGTCCTCCACCAACCAGTTCAAGGCCCGCCTCAATAACCACTGGAAAGACATCTTCTACATCATCCCTGATTAAGTTCATGCTTGTCCTTACATGCCCGCGAGCTCGGTGAGATCGGGACCTCTCAGGCCAAGTGGCCTTCAAAATTCCCGCTATCGGTAAGGTAAGGTAAGGTCACCAAGAGGCAAGAACCAACCAACTCGTGAATCAGTGGGGGGCATTTGAATCCCGCCCCCGAAATAGGTGTGATGGTTGGGTAATCTACGAAAGACATCGCTGACAAAGTTTAAATGTGTCGCTCCCTGAGAGTTTCATTGCCGTCTGGTAAGTCTCGCTACGATGCTCAACATCGTTGTGCTTGTGGGGGGCAAGTAGGTAAGCTTGAACTTGAAAGCTGCATGCGAGGCGTGCAAATTACGGACACAGGCGTGGAATCCTAGATACTCGCCAGGCGTGCACTCCCATCGAACTGGGCGCTGCACCAGTCGAGTGCTTCCACTTGCGCAACTCGGTCACGCCCCAGGCTCACCATGTGACACCCACAACTCCTCCACGGTAACAAGTCGTGCAATGACATCTTTTGGATCTTCCACATAGGAGCCAAAACTTCGCGTTACGACTCTTTTCGAGTTTGTCTTTGCTCTGGAGCTATGGCAAACGGGGGATGCATCTTGCAGAGATCTTAAACACATATTAAGACGCTGATGAAAAATGGCTTTGAGGGCTCCGATGTACAGCTCCGCCTGTGCTGCGTTGTTCCAGGCCAGAACATTTGTCGTTTTTCGGCTTAAGGTACTCATTTTTCATATTTTCTTTAGTCAATGCTGATTGCTGTTGATGGCTGACCGTCGTGAGACGCTCTTTCGCTAACATTGACGAACTCACGCTGCCAGTTTTACAAGACCATTGTTTGACCCCTCTCAAAATATGGTATGGTGACGCCCTCTCAAAGATGCTGAGGCGATATAGTGACCGTATATCAGCCGCTGCACGAAGGGCTTCCTATGTCGCAGGTCATTTTCCTGACTCGGAACCAGGGCTGCAGAGTCAGAGTCGGAGTGGAGGGTCGCAGTCGGTCGGAGGGTTTCCCCAAAGTAACAATATGTTTTTTGTTTCAGAATGGTGGTCTGGCATCTCCAAACCGCATCGCTGGCAAAAATCACTCATCAACAGTTCTGCTGAAAACAGTCAGGAATGTGGCAATCGTTGGAACCGTGGGACTTTTCTTCGTCGTGGTTTCATGTAAGTGAATGATAATTTATCGATTTATGGAAGTCTTGAATTCAATATATACGATCAAACTGGCTGTTGACAATGTTATGCTTCAAACTATTTGACTGTTTTAGTTCTCTGTCCCTGTTTCATACACACGTCATGTCTTTGTTCATCCCGTTCACCCTCTCTCCCGCTGTCCTGTCCCCGCACGCATATCCCTCGCTGACCCGTGTTCACTGTTTACACTCAGCCTACGCTCGTATGCTTCTGCTCTCCCCATCTGTCCTTATTTGGCTCATGCCGACATGCAGCAGAAGTCAACTCGTAACCACTTCCTTCTCAATAGTCAAACACATCACCTCTGCGCTGTCCGGCAGTGTCATACAATAACACTCTGCCGTGGAGGATGTCACACGCCACCAATGTACTGGACCGGCTGGCAGTGCGGCTCGGCCTCCAGGAGCAGGTGTACGCGGTGGTGATCGACGCCGGCAGCACCGGCACGCGCGTGCTGGCGTTCGCCTTCCACCATAGCCTGCTCGGTGAGTAGTGAGCGGATCGTCGGCACGGCGTCGGCGAGCTTAGCGCCGTGGATATGGAATGAGGGAATGGTTTGTTGCGTTTGCCCTACCATCCTTAAAGTTGAGCGCCTTATATTTCCTGGTTTTCCGAAAATCCTTGGAGATTCAGGTAGGAACCGCCCGCAGTTTGGCTGGTCGTCCCGGAAAACTTGTGAATGGGTCCCGGACTTGAAAAGGACAATCTTGAGGGCTGATGGGTTGGTAGGTATCCAAAACGCTACACTTGCACTGTTTGCACCCACCAATGGCTCTCAGTCAGGGAATATAAAATATGGTATCATGTTGACATTTTGCGGCCTCGTAATAAACATATTACGTGGTGCTTGAGCTGTGTAATGCTTGTGTCCTGTGAGTGTGATGTGGTTATGGATGTGCACTCAATAGTCATTGGACTTGCGCATTGCACTAAGTATGTGAAGTGTGTGCTTAGCGATTGAAGTTTGGTTCGGTGCTGTTTTCAGTGTGAATAAGCGCTGCTCCTTTTATAACAAAAGTTCCGATTGAAACGGCTTTTGCCCATTGCTAAATACTAATGCTTATTTTGCAGATGGTAGCTTGAAACTAGATGCTGAGCTATTCAAAGAAGTCAAACCAGGTCTTTCATCATATGCCAAGGAACCCGAGGCGGTAAGTAATAAAAGAAGTAGGTATTCAAACATCATCATGAAAACGAATTATTCGCTTGCGACGCTTATTGTAAGGTCCGTGGAATCCGTCGATTGTTCCTCTCGGGGTATTTGTTTGGGTTTTGGTGGAGTTGGCCGGGGGCAATATGTCATACAAGATGGGGTATTTATAGCGTCTGAAGTACGCTTGCCTTGTTATGAATATGTTGCAACTAACGATTTT